GGTCATCTAAAAACATAACGGTAACACAACAATTACCTCAGCCGCAGGTGCTCCACTTGTCCTGTCTGTGCGATGGGATGGCCGTATCCTTCAGCACATTATGGTCCGTGTGGCAAATTCCATTTTTTCAAAATAGTCGTCCTCATTGAAATGTACCGAGCAAACATAATGTCCCTTGATAATCTATTTAGGTGTGTTTGGATAAATATCCAGAGTAAGTTAGCCATTTCTTCATCCAGTCAGCGTTTTTAGTTGGAATTCTGTAAAAAATGGTATTACCTCCCCTGTTTACAGTCGCAGCTATTTACAATAGAGCGAAAACCCATGACTCTAAACTACGCTTTTACTATTTATAAATTGCTGACTCTATTACCCAAACACCGAGCGAACTCTCCGCTCCTCACCACAGCTGCTGCGTTCCAAACCGCATACTTCCCTACTATTTAGTATGGGAAAAAGAGTAGGCGAGCAAAAAAGTATGAATGAATCCAAAAGAGTAGGCGAGAATTACCTGGGTGACGTAGTAATTGTCGCGAGATTCGGACTTAAGTGCGTTCCAATATGCCTACTTTCCTACTATATAGTAGGCGAAAACAGTACGTGAAGGAAGCAGTACGTTCCAAACATCAGTTTTCATAAAAAGAGTAGGCGAGAAGTTCCCGGATGGCTTACTGCTTCCGCTCAGATTTTTGAGTGCTTTTCCACGGCTACTCATGATACTCATCTATCCCAGGAGGCCACGCGAGAGGATACGTCAATGCACATAGCTTGCAAACTGCCAATAAAAATCACAGAAGAAGAAGAAGAAGAAGAAGAAGAGATGATACGTCAATATCAACATCGCGGAGATAAGCGACGCGGGGGTTTTCAAATGTGAGTAAATACGGTTTAAATCGTATGTGTTAAACTACTATAGAGTAAACGTTTTAACTGTTGAACGTCTAAAGGAGTTAGACAGTATAGTATAGTTGTGATTTTGCTGTAAACACATGTTTTATTATGTATAGCTAACAGGGGAGCTCCAGTAACCGTAAAGTTATGTTTCCAACGTGTATTTACATAACCATACATCTTAAATACGCTTATTTAAAATGTCTATTTAGATCAGGAAGGAAAATATTGTATAAGTATTGCAGGTGAGCACATCCCAACATGAAAAATACATGTGTGTGCTATTATGTAGGATAATTCTGTTGTCAACACTGCTTACATTAGACAAATTATGTGCTGTCAATAAAAACATCTGTAAAGTAACTAAACATGATATATATTTAATTTGTCCCTTATTGGTGTTGATATATTGAGGAACATTTAAGTTGGATTAAAAGTGAGTTAACACATCAACCTCAGCATGTAAATGCAGTGTTGAGCTCGTAATGTGAATCTTGTCTGTATGTTACAGGGACAGGAGAACACGCGTGTGTTTATCCAGTGGAGAGAGGCTCATGACGCTGAATGCTGTCATCAAAGAATAGGAACCGCTGTGTTGAGTCGGCAGTAGGGTTTGGGGTTCAGTGCCTGTAAATACATGCTTGTAGTTTGAATAAAGCTGTTTCATGTGTTGACTTGTATATGCATTTGTTTATTGTGATGGTTACTTTTATTTGTTCTTTTACTCATTTATTCATGTTTCTTATTGTTGTCAGTATATAAAATGTAATTAATTTATGCATTAATTCATCGATTGACTGACAATTGAGATGTTTCACTGCATTTAGCAATATAAATGAATTCATGCATTACTGTCATATTACAAAACAAATTACATTTTGCTTGTTTTATTAAATTATATTTTTAGTATATAAAAAGTTATACAAGTATTGGTCAGCATTTAATATTATTATTTTGTTTAAGTTTTGGGGTAGGCTAACAATGAAATTCATTCTGAGGTAATATTAATTTTTTAAGCAGTGATACTTATTTTTTGAGTATAAAATCAACAGTTTTCTCCAAAAGAGATCTTCAAGCAGCTGCCCGTCTCCTTTGTGCACACATTACAAACGCTGTTCTAGGTTGTGCTGTGAAGTTACTGATGTTATGAAGTGTTAGAGCACCTGTCGCTCATATAATTTAAACTTATTATATGCAAGATCATGGAAAGATACTATAGTTTATGTAACAATCATAGTGACAAAACAGAAAATATAAAGATCATTGGTTTGTGTACATCATAATATGACATAAAATTATATTTATACACAGGAAATAAGAACAATAAAAAAGGCTAAATATCTTCATTAGCCTATAGTTCTTTATAATACATAAAAAAGTTGTTGTTATATCTGAGGGATGAAACGAGGTAAATTCATGAAGAAAAAGAGGAGAAACTTTTTGGGTATAAAATAAAGAAATTAACAACATAATCAAGAGATGATGATTTTGGGGTTTCTTAATAAAAAAAATATCGTTAGAATAACACTGTTGTTCACATTAGTAGGGTTTAAAATATAACAACTTAAATCAACCCTAAATGTATTCACAAAATAAATAGGCAGCTGTTTCTTCAACAATACCACAACAAAATGAGCAAGTTTCATCAATATCAAGATATTTATAGGTAGATTAATTAAACGTATCGTTCATATTTTTTTTATTGCATGAAGGTGTTGCGCTTCTGATAACGCGTAGTAGGTCACATGATAACGTCAACATGGCAGATGTCCGGTTCGCATTCATACTCAACGAGATTTGGCTATAAAGTACCTACTCTTTTAGCGCTCGATGAGTAAGTACTTATTGAAATTAAGTACCTACTCATTGAGTATGCGGTTTGGAACGCAGCCAGCGTGTCTCCGGTGATGCGGTTATTACGCCGTAAAAGTAGCAGTGCTTCGCCTTCAGAGAATAGTTCCCAGGTTTTATACGGTTAAAAGATGTCTGTGTCTCATTTGACTTTGTTATTTGTACATTATGTGACTATACAAACCACAACATGTAAATAGGAAAACGTTTGCGTTATTTTGTCACTCATTTGGATTAGTATAAAAGCTGCAACCATTCACATCGAGTCTTTGTGCTAAGCTAGGCTAGCGGTGGGTGCGTCAAACAGACTTATAGCACGCACGGAGATGAAAAAGGTATGTATGGACTTATCTAACTCTGGGGGGTAAGGTGAATAGGCTAAAGTCCCAAAAAGTCGGAGTGTTCCTTTAACAATTTTATCTGATTTTTTAGGGTTTACTGGTGTGGAGCACTTTTATCACGGATGGATAGGCTCTGATGGACTTCCAAAAACATACCCATTGACTCCCATTATAAAGCTTGGAAGAGCCAGGACATGTTTTTTAATATAACTCCGGTTGTATTCGTCTGAAAGAAGAAAGTGATTTACACCTGATGGCTTCAGGGTGAGTAAATCATGGGTACAAACTCCATCAGACTCTCACAATGAAAAACTGTCAGAATAACCTTAACATGTTGAAAGTTTGCCTATTAAATGTGCTGTAACTGTGAGTCAAAATGAAACCTGCATTTTACTTACTGAAGAAACATGAACCGTTTGTGCTTATGAACGTTGATGAATGTATGTGTCTTAAATGATAAAGGGCTTCTTATCCACTGCTCATATGAAGCTTATCAAAACGTCAAACTGTATCTAGAAGAGTCTGTGTCGAGGCCTAAAGGTGCAGTAACTAGTCGTTGAGCAAGAAAAACATTCAGCTTTTATATTTTTCTCATATTTTGCTTTCTCATCATGTGATTGGCTGTTCGCTACTGATGTCACACCTAAACACCTAAACTCAGGATCAAAGCCCGAGTGACGGAGAAAGTTGATGATCAGCATGTGACCAACAAAGGTTGGATTGGTTTGGTTTTGTCAACTTGAAACTAGTCCTGTAATCCTGAGTTTGTTCAACTACAATCATGGTACAGACCCCAGATCAAGACCAAACCAAGACTTTTGAGGGTTTGAGATTATTGAGATCAAGTCAAGAGCACGGCACGGCGAGACAAGAGTCGAGAACAGACCAGCGCTCCTTAAATTATTCTAAAAGATCCACTTTTACTGCCTGAGAAATGTCTTATTTAACCAATAGGATGAATACCATCAGCAACCAGACCACACATCTGGACATCACTCCGTCAGACACTCATAGGCCCCTATTAGTGACATGATGACATCATTTTAATTTAGGGGTGAACTATCCCTTTAAATATGTTAGTCACTCCTCTTTTAAACAGGTCAATCATGTTCTGATCTCAGACTTTTGTTAATCCTAATATATAATCCTATATAATTCCTGATATTTAATACACAACCTGCTTTCAAATTAACGCCCTTTAATGCCACTGTATGCGAATATGGAAATAAACTAGCATTGCTATGGCTATTAATTAGTGTTTTAGACACAAAATACAAAAGTAATGGGGGAGGTTTTTAATACACAAAAAGTGTATAAATTTGGGTTCTTTCCTCGAACTTTTTATTTTTATGAACTCTTCTACTGCCATCTGGTGCTCAAAAAAAGGAAGTGCATCTATTGAATCTTTTCATGGCAGGGGAGGAAAATGCTAAACTTGAATTGTAATGAAAAAGAAAACTTGTACTTTTATTATTTGAAAAAACATGCCAAATTTTACCAAAACCATTATGGTTTTTACAACATATGATCTTATGGTCCCATTTCATCTCTGGGTGTTTGCGATTATTATGATTAATTTTATAACTAATTCGTTTTTTAACTGTATAAGTTCAGATTTAATGTACTCTGAAGATTTGATTGTGCACATACAGTACATATAGAAGGAAGCAACACACATTTCACACAATTTGACCTTTTTATTGTTTATTAATATTGAATATATCGGTACACTGTTTATGATTTGCATGTTAAAACAGATGTTAGGAAGCAAAACAAGGGTTTCTCCACTAGAGGACATATACGATCAGAGACATGCATATATCGAACATGAACATGTATTCCTCAAGCAGATGCTTTTATCAAAATTAATAAAACAACACACAACACAACACAATGTGGTTATAGTTTAACTATATCTAGTACTGAGCAACGGTGTTTTTTTTTCCATCTTTTTTTTGCTATAAATGCCACAAGAGTAATACTTCTTTTTCTTCTTTTTACTTCTTTTTAAAGAGTAATTTTTAAGTGCTTCAGCATGAATACAAACAAGATCAAATTCAGATCACATTTACAATCTGACATTCACATCTAATTGATAAACAGATTCACTTCAGATCAGACCCTTATTGAAGCATAACTACTAAAGCAAAATAAGGCACACATTTAAAACTTCAATGAAAGTAATATAAAAAAAAAGTCAACTTAAGTAGTTGTATTTTTTTTTTTTTTTTACAATAAAAGTGTAACAAAGGTCATGTGATCTCAGTGATCAATGCTGAACATCCACATTAATCTGGCACTGGTGTTATTAACATAAAACACCACATTCACAGGTTATAGAAATACTGCTGCGGCAAAACAAATTATAAAAAGCATATTTACTTAAACTCGCAGTCACCAATCACATAAAATCAAATCTGTAAAAGTCAGATGAGTATTATGTTAATAGAGTAACAGATATGAAGTGTAACATTATAAAAATGAAACTGTTTGATAAACACATTTCCCTGTTCATCTGAAACCAAAGAAGCTTTTTACATGCAAGTTTAACAGCTCAACAGACATTTCTGATTAATTTCTCACTTTAAGGCTCATATAAGCAGAAATGTGTTTTGTTGTTGTAGCTGGAGCTGAATTGTTGATGATGTCAGAGTAATTGACACTGGTGGGCGTGTCGTATCTCTTTAAAGCGAACTCATCCCCTCCTGTTCATTCTCTCCACGCAGCAGCGGCATCACTACAGTCACTGATTCATTCTTTCTGTTTCCTGAGGAATCAGGCTGAAAATACACAGACATTGACAGATATTAAAAAGAAAGATGTACAGATCTAGAGATTTCAAAACTTAAGATAATGTGGCCAATTCTCCCCTTCCGAGTATGATAATTATCTTGATGGATCTAGATGATCTTATCAGGTTTTCCTGTGGTGTGAAGTGTGTTAAGAGAGACTGAATCTGCTCTGAAGAACATCAGGGTCGCACCGATCTCAAATAATCGTTAATATCCAACATATTGAAAATTAACAATCAGAAATCCTGTTTAGTGGAATGAACCCTGAGGAGAAACACACTCTGCAGACCGTCACAAAACACAAGCCACAAATATGCGTGATCAATAAATAAAATGAAAATAAATAAATTATTAAAATAACGAAGCCAGATTTGTCAACTTTGTCTTTTTAACGGCAGAGACGACAATAACACTAAACTGGAGAGCAGTCTTTATAGCTGAACATGTTCACAGCATCCAAAAATCAAATTAGACCTGTCTGAAATATTTTTAAATCACTTGTAGGCTACCCTACCTGATGGAAAGAAAATAACTCTGTGTCCGTTTGAGTCTTTTCAATCTGATCTGATGGTGTGCATCCACACTTTAGATTTCCTTAGACATTGATATAGATTTAAATCCCTGCCGTCGAGATGCTTCACTGTCGGTCACGGATCGAGGAAAGTGAAACTTGATTGTGATTGGATTTATTCACGCATGTTAAAAATAGATTCTTTCTTTACACATTTTCATTTACAGCATTCTCCTAATAGTTTGTATATTCACTTATTGGCAGAAACCCGGTTGTTAGATGTGAAATCGGACATTGAGACTAATGCTAAACTTCTTTTGCCCTCATAGCCAAAATGGCATGATCCTCGTTTGATTATAACACCTCTGAAGATTCGACTGAGAGATTGGTAGTACTCCTATCGATGCATTGAACCTTCGACTATTCGGGGTCACCCCTAATCTTGTCTTGTTTGGATCTTTGGTGTAAACTAGTGACAGTTCATGTTTTTCCACCCCTATTCCCTTTAATAACTGCAGGATATGTAACCATGATCTTACGTTAAAGAGAACAACAGAATCTCACCTGCATCTGGAGGATCGGTGTATCGTTCGCATATACTGTTAAAACAACAAATCACAGAATTATTAGACAATGACCCTTTTTATATTACGTCTCTCACATTTTTAAAGTCTTTTAGTGAGTCTCCAGCCTAACATCCACATTCTACCATCAAATTTACATTACAAATACAATGCACAAAATCATTTAACTCATACATTGTCGGTAGCATATTTAGTAAACGTTCTATATACAAATATAGGTTTAAATCTTGGAAATATGAACAGAGTGTAAAATGGTGCCACAACACACACATCAGATCATGATCTTCAGTTAAAGATCTTCAACACAACAGAATCTCACCTGATTCCGGCTCATCCTGTGAAGGAGGAGGAAGAGCAGGTCTGTCCCATGATTCTGTTTAAACAACAATCACAGACTTATTAGACAATGACACTTTTTACATTCATCAGACATTATGATTACAAAAAAAGGTCATATATAATCAGATCTCAGGTCAGCTGTGAAACGAGCTGATGCTCATTCAATTCAAAACATGCATGAACCCAATGAACACTGACATCAAGTCTGGCAAGATGAGTCTCGTAGCGTCTTTCTTTTCATATTGTTCTCAAGAAGCTGAATTTATGATCTAAATAAAAGCTGAATGAAGAAGTACTTGTGGACGCAGGTCAGCAACAAAACGTGTAAATGTTAGGGATGAAACAATTACTGGTTTCACTATACACCACGTTAAATTGTCCTGACAGTTAGTATTATCGTTTCAAATTGAATTATCATTAAAAGAAAACCGTGTTTGATATCGTGATTATGAAAAACTGGCGGTAAATCCTGTCCAGTCAGCATTAGTCTGACAAAGCCGCAGCAAGCAATGCTGTTTTTTGTACAAGAAGACATGGCAGAAGGGAGTGACAGCACTCGGGAGATTACAGTTTTTCTCCGTCGCTTTGGTGCATTTCTCACATCACTATTTACAATTGCTCAACAGTTAATGCAGTTCTCGAAACAATTAGTACAAACTGCAAAACTTAGTTGATAACCTGCAAAAGTGTGTCACTTTCTCAAAATGGATAACTCGTACCTCAAAAGCAAGTATTCATGTCATTGAAGGTGTCAGTGTCGTCAAGATGAAAAGTCCTAACACCAGTGTTTATGAACAAGATAGTCAAATGACTTTGTCATGTTTTCATTATGACAGTTTACTCTGTAAGTGTTTGACAATACAAAAAAAGATCTTGGTGACACTATACCTGAAAATGCTCAAGACAGTCATACAAACTATTTGCACAGCCATTTGAAAACTACAGTAAAGTTTCACATTATTTACTGTAGTGAGGTACAGTAATTGAGTACAAGACACTGAATTTGTATGTTTCACATTTTTACTGCATAGTCTTTGCAATTCTAATTTGTTCAGAGCATTGTGCAAAGGAAAAAATACACCCTTATTTACAACAAACATAAACTCCCTTTGGGTAAATCGGTGCACAACTGGAAAGAATATCACAATACATATTGGAACTGAAAGTACAACATACATATACTGTAAATCATTCATGCACATCTCTTCTCATCAGTGAAAGCTGAGGTTCACCTACGAGAAATTGTTCAATTTAGGATAAAAAAAAAGTTTTTTTTAAAGATAAATTTTTTTTTTAAATTTGCTTGACGGATTTTGAAAACTAGTTTAACATTTTTGTATGTGATGACTCAAGCAATGAAATGAGGACTATTAGTTTTATATGGAATGACTATTCAGCATTCACAAGTATAGTTAATTTGGACTGATATGACATAAGCAAATGATAATGTTATAAAACTGAAGAGAGTTGTATGAAAGCAATTGATGCATGTCCAAAAGCATTTGCAATTTGTTGGAAGGAATGAGAAACTGCTACTATGATGTGCACAAATGACTAAATGTTGTGGAGGTTGAACTAACTGTTGTGCAAATGTAAATAGTGATGTGAGAAATGCACCAAAGCGACTGAGAAAAACTGTAAAGCGAAGCAAAGTTCGAAGCAAGTGGTTCGAAGTGAACTTGTTCAAACAAGATTATTAGGGTGACATTTAAAGGACAATTTTTATTTATTGTATACTTACAATATTGAACTGAGATGTTTTAAAATCTCTGAAATCATTTATAAATCATTTTGTACAGTTTAACCCTCTCCTTTACATTTTGAAAGCCGTCCATGCATTAAGGCCACTGGAACTAATGAACAACTGCAACGCTGGTTTTCGGTTTTATTGTTTGTCGTTTAAACGTGCCTGTTGCATAGGCTATCTTTTTATATATATATATTTATGTTCTATTGGTGAAGTAGCCTATAGCATTGATTTCAGTGAACGGAAGGGTGTGGTGATTAAAATAATTCAGCAGAAGCAGGGATGTTTAGAGAAGAAGGAAATCCCTGTCCCCCCCACTTTACTTAAAACCATGTTTTTAAAAACTCAACAGGCTAGAGGGAATCAAAGTCAATATATCTTTTTATTTTCTTCTTTTTTTACAGAACTGCTTTTGAAATTACGATTGGTATTATTATACAGATGTAAGTTGTTCTGTTGGATACTATTCGTTTCTTAGTGTAAAATGGAAATGCATGGTAATTTTATTTTATAAATAAGCTAAATGCTTATATTTAGAACTACACAAATCTCTCTGCATTAATAGCCTAAATATAAAATTTAACTACAGTAGTCCATGTTTGATCGGGCTTGAACTCAACCACGCCTTAACTCACTGAGAAATGCCCAAACATTTGTTTCTCCAATGGGTGTTCGCTCACATGAGCGAGAAAAAGTTTTGTTTTTAGCCTATTGTGAGTGTAGGCCTACTTTACATGAATAAAAAAAAATAGACCTTTTACAGATGATATCTTATATGTGTATATCCAAAAATTACAAAGTTAATTATATTTATATTTTTTACTTTTTAGTTAAAAAGTTATTTTAGCTGTTATGAGAAAAATAAATTAAAGTGATCGCGCCACCGCGTTTGTCGAACTCTAATTCAATGCCAGAATAAAACCCAAGTTTAGAATATGCACTCGGTGTGTCAAAATATTTAATTATAAACTTCAATATTTCGTTCAAAACCACCTCAAAACACTTTTTGACATTTTAAAAAGCCATGAATAAATGTATTATAATACTTATAATACATTTATTCAATGCTTATGTTTTATAAATGTTAATAAATGTTATAAATGCTTATTTTTTTAAAAATTCTTTCTGCATGGAACTCCATGAAGTTTTATTCTCTATTTTTTTAACAGAACTGCTTCTGAAGATGTAAATTCAGTAAATCTGTTGGATGAGATTTGTTCCTTAGTGTTATACGGGATTTGAAACAGTGTCATCGAAATGATTGAACCCTAAGTTCTACCACTCGACCACAACTTTTCTCACTGAGAAATGCCCAGAAGTTCGGTTGTTCAGCAGTCAGTGTGCGCACACGAGAGAAGCGCTCTTCAATCTTCTCATTCCTCAATAGTTTAGCGTCATTGATTGCACCCAATTTAATTTCACTGACTGCGAGGCCTATTTTAACTTTTGATTTATAAAATGTTCTGCTGTAAAAGTTTGCTATATTCTATTTAAAATGTAGGCTACTTTTACATAATTACGTTTTGCTTTCGCTAAATGTCCCTTTGCACCACCTGGATGGTCATTTCGCGAATGACTTTGAAATGCGACTGGTTTATTTTTGTCACGGTGGATTCACCGAGGCAGTTGTCAGGGCTGTAATAGGCATTCTGGTTGGCCACCTACTGTAAAGGATGCATATACACTTTGCAAACTCAAAAACACAAAAGGTTAGCACATATGTTTTATTGTAATATATTTACAGTGGTCACCCAAATGCCATTTTTAACTTTCAAAATGGAGTGGAATTGTGACATTCATTCATACGAAGATATTTTGAAAAATTCTCAAAAGGTTTTTTTGGTCCATATAATAAGTAATTGCTTGCTTGAAGGTAAAAAATAAATAAATAAAAATAACGACTGAATTGACATGTTTGGTTCTTCGCACAACCTTCCGATTTAATGATGTAATTATCACACTGACAGAGTTACTCACCATCAACAGTAACATTGAATCTCTGATGTGTGACTCTGTCTCTGCTGATGATGTGTAGATTATACTCTCCAGTGTCTGCTGTTGTGCTCTCTGTGATGGTCAGAGATCCAGTCGTCTTGTCCAGCTTCACTCTGCTTTTGAATCTTCCAACACATCTAGTGGTGTTGGTGTCAGCTATGATCATGCCATGGGGTCCAAATGTCCACAGAACCTGATCATCTTTTTGTAAATCGCTAATGGGAGGTACTAGATTTATAGAATCTCCCTCAATCACTAGCTCTGACTTCACAGCACCTAACACATTTAGAAAACAAACAACATTTAGTCAGACAGATTAAAAGTCGCCGTTATGAAACAGATTAAACTAAGATTGAGTTTTGACCTCTATTCAAACCTTTGCTGGTCTAATTTCAAGACTAAGTTTCACATTTTCTTATACTCAGATCCATCACATCTGCTCTTGTGTTGACATTATGCAGTTATATAACCTCTAAAATAAGCCAGTTAACAAAAGAGTTAAAGAAGAGATTTCAATACTATGGATGCTGTTGTGTTGGTGGCAAATTTCAACTTTCTTGGTTGGAGTTTCACTGCTTTGAGGATTTTCTTTAGCTATAGTGCTCCATTATTGATTTTGAAATATAGCATTCCTCAGATTGAATAAATGTATGTTCATCTTCATTAGCTTTACTATAATGTGCTGTCAACCATTGCTGAGAGCTGAATAGACACAGGTAAAAGGACATCCTCTCTCTAAAACTAAAGATAGTTAAAGATTTGAGGTACTCACCCCTGCGAACAACAATGAATGTGAAAGACTTGAAGCTGTTTTTTTTCTTGTTGGTGATTTGTACATAATAATCTCCACAGTCTGCGTAGCTGAAGTCTGTGATGGTGATGGTGAGAGGTCCAGTGAGATTCCACTGCAGTCTGTCTTTCAATCCCCAATTCTCAGATATAAATTCATCGCCCGGCTTACTGAATCTAGCTAAGGTAATATACGGGCTGTCTTTAAATTCTCCAAACCTCAAGATTATCTCATCATCTGTCTCTATTTCAGTTTCAGTTCTTAGTTTGAGATCACCTGCCTCCGTCACTGACAGAGTCTTCACTTCATCTTTTTCATCTCCGAACACTCCTAAAAATACAAGCAGAAACAGTTAAAGATTGAACAAATAAAACATTCAACAGAGTTCATTAAGTCTTGACTAATAATTCTCATGAGACTAATAAATCTAATTTGACTTTTTACAGTCATTGCACTGGTAGAAAGTTGGTTCTGTTGTTCTGTAGAAAGTGGAATGTTGAAATGCAGACAGAGACATGAATCAAATGATTGTGCAGGGGAATATTAGGTCAGTTTTCTGAATATTTGCTTTGTATTGATAATTGAGTAATCCTGTCTGAAAACTGCTTTTAAAAAGGCTACATAAGCACTATATTAATACATCTGACTTGACTTGATAAATGACACACTTGCAGACTCTACTAATGATTTATATGTTATAATTACTAATGAGTAGAATCATGTGTTAGATGAGGAATATGCAGTGATCTACGAAGGAATGGCCCATGAAAATTTATAATCAATACAGTTACAGTATATTTTCATAGTACAATAAACATTAGCATTTTAAAACTAAAGCTCTTTTTTGTTCTTGTGAGAGCATAAAGTAACACTTGCCCTCAGTTCTTGCTTGTCCACAAAACCTCAGGATTCGACCCAGAAAACCTGTAATCACTGATTCATTCTCAGAGGTCTCAGTGAAATCTGGAAGAAAAGAGATGAGAAACACAAAACACAACACAATCATCACACATCACTTCATTTAGTTTTGCACAGAGATTTTTGTAGAACTGTCACTTAATAAAACTCTTATGATCATTTCTCAAATGAGAATGAACATACGCACAGAAAACACGCATACACCTCTTCAGATGTGAAATCTATAAATCGCAAATTATCTTGTTTGCAGCTGAATGGTTTCAGATCTCCGGCTTGTAAACGATGGCTAATTAATGTCATTAACATATATAAGAGCAGCAGTCAACATCCAAATGCTTTACTTTATAATGCCGAGCAGGACCAAATACCTGCAGTTCTCCGACAGTCCGACTCTCTGCCACGAGGAAAAGTGTGTCCGTCTGCTCAGACCCTGACGCGGCTCTAAACAGTTTTACATGTCAAAGACCGCTTTTATAAATATGAACTTTGCCATGATTTTTAGCATACGCACACACCAAGTTCAAATGTATGTGTATGTGCGTTTTATTAATTAAGCCCCAGATCTCTGCTCGAGGATTAAACCATTTGTTTTGGAGATTATTGTTATATTATTTGCCTGGAATCCAAAGTTGACATACTTGGTTATATTCAGATAATATTTAAAAGCGTCATGTCATGCAGCACTCGTATATACAGTTGTGGCCAAAAGATTACATACACCTTAATAACCAAAATAAGAGTGATTTTAAAAATGACATGTTTTCTATATTACTACTACCCTGATTAATCTATTTAACATAACAGATGTTTACATTTAGACAATCACTCCAGAAGTTTACGTACGGTTGATTCTTCATACCACAAGCCAATCTCATTGCATGTTACTGACTTCATAAATATGCAAATAAAAATCCAGAGGATTACAGATGTGTGTAAAAAAAGAAAGAAAAAAACCCCCACATAAAATATTATTCCTTGTGATGCGAATCCTTCAAAAGAAAGCAAAATATTGTCAATGTGAAAAATGACACAGTATATAATTTTTTCATTTCACTATGTGTCATATTTATGTCACACTGTTTGCCAGAAAAATTAAACATTATGACAGACGATTATTACACTAAAAAGACTTTCAGTACTCACCATCAAAAACAACTCCGAATGGCTTGAAGTTCAAATCGGGATTTGATAATGAGTCAAAGTTTACAACATAAAGTCCAGTGTGTTCAGTTCTGATGTTCTTGATGGTCAGAGATCCTTTCTCTTTGTCCAGCTGAAGATTGTCTCTGAATCTCCCATCAGGACACTCAGATACATTGCTGATTAATAGTTGATAATTACTGAAATCACTGTCTGTAAATATCCACTCTATATCACTCACATCTTCTGATAGCTCTAGAGTGACATCACCTCCCTCCTTCACTGACTTCATCTCCACTTCACCTGTGTTGAGAACAAAAACACAGACAACATGAAGGAACTGAAATTAAACTTTAAAAACAGTCAGTAGACAGATGAAATCAACTAGTGGTCAGATCTTTTTAACTGGGAGGCACCATGCGTCACAGGCAAGGGGGTAATCCATGTTGTGGAAAATTCAGTATTTCTTATATTCATTTTGTTTGATCATGAGTCTTCTGTGATGGTGAAATGAAATGAAAGAAAAACATGTAATAAAACCAGATGGGTCTGAGAAAGGATACAGGGGGTCGTTTAGTTTTAAAACGAAGTCTCGTGCTGAGCGAAGCAGGAGGTCATTTAGGTTGTAAATGAAGGCCTTTTGGCTTCTCAGGAACAAAGAAAAAATTTAGGGGGTAGAAGCCAGTCCAAACCAGTTAAATAGAAGATATCTTAAGAAAAGTTTCAGAAACTGGGAAGAACGCCAAAGAACTGTATAAATGTTTTATGTTTTGTGGATTATTATCCATACTATATGAGGCATTGTTTTAAGTGCTCGTGGCTAGTGCCTCTCCTCTTTTTTCTCCGCTGTACGAGACCAATGTTTTGATGACTTATTGAAATATTGTGGAAAGAAAACACTGGATAAATTTATTCGCATCTGCATCCATTGAAATTCGTGCTGTTTTGCTTAATTTCCCGGGTCAGAACGTCTGCATTTGGTAGTTTCAGCAGTGCATAGTGTAAATTCAAAAATCGGATACAGTCACTTTTAAAAGATGATGTAAGCAGGTCGTCAAAAAAATCGGATATAGTCAGAAAATCGGATTTGGGCATCAAGACCTGCAGTGTAAATGCAGTCTTAGAGGATCGGGACACCATACGGTCATGCACCCCTTAGCGAGAACGCGCATTGAGGGGTGCAAGGGCGCAAGTGCGGTTCCCTATCAAGAAATAAATATATCAAAATCAAAAAATATACTTATTTAGTAAGCAATGAGCACCCGGTAAAAAATTGCGGTGCCTTTGAATATTGGTGTGCAATATGTGACCTTTGGAGTTAAAATGTGGAGAATGACTGGTCATGATGGTCAATATAAAAAAAACCGCATGTATTTACTAAACCGGAGGATCTAAAAGAGTAATTCACACCCTGATGAAGGTGGGAAGGTATTATCAAGAGGGCGAGAGCAACTTCATTTATTGCACGCGCTTCTTCACTTGCTTCTTATATAGTGTAAAGTGACACTTGTGTGAACAAACAGACATTGTTAACTCAAGCACAACAGACACACTCAAGTGTGCTCCAGGCTGGAATGTGGAGAAGATATCGAGTGAACAGATAAAACTGGCTCAGTTTTTAAAGCAAATGAAAGGCTTGAAATACAGAACACAAATCATGTGGAAAAACAGAAAAGGAAGAAGAAAAGTTTCAAAGATTGGCAGCACTACAAAAAATTGAGAACCACTGCATTAACTCATTTGCATACTTAGTATTGGTATTTTTTTAGGATTTTCCACTCCATTAGTTGCTTTTAAGGATAGAAGAAAGAAATGAACCTTGAGTAAAACCACAAGCTGATTTATTTTGAGTGTATGTATTATAAGTATTATATACTGATAGTCTGTTATTGCTGAAATTATTAACATTGCATTGTTGTGCTCAAAAAACAAGACAAGGCACAATGCTGTCATGAGTTGTCTGACAAGAAAAGACGAATTATCTTTTCCAAAATAAACTGTTTGTATTATTAGGTCCTAATCTCTATACAGTTACAGAGCTCATCTTTAACCTCTGCTTGATTTTAAAGGGAAACCCAAAAGTACATTCTCCATAGTTTTCCTTTTTTATCCCTTTAAGATTATTTTTTATTTACAATTAAAGATGCTGCATAAGAAGGTAATAATATTTATTATTAATAATCTGAGGTGTTTGATATGAATCTGATTGTTGTGAACTGTTAAAACAACCATTAAAACATATGTTTATGAAATGCTAAGCTAAACTACTAAAACCAGATGAGATCAACTCATAGAAACAGAATTTCAGGACATTCTCTGTAAATGACAGTTATGTTATCCAAGAATAAGTATTATATTATACTACACTAAAGTGCTCACTTTAAATCGAAATAAAACAAATTTTTCATTGATTTCATTTTTCATTTAAATCTACTCACCAGAGATAATAACTTCATATTTTTTGTATATGGTCCCTCCTCTGCTTTTGATCTCTAGAACATAAACTCCGGCGTCTGTCTTTCGGAGGTTTCTGATGATCAGAGATCCAGTCCGAGGATCCAGCTGAAGTCTGCCTCCAAATCTCTCATCACACCAATAGGTCTTCTTCTTGTCAGTTTTACTAATTGAAGCAATAGCAGACTCTTTAACGAAGACACGTGTCCACCGCATCTGAACACCTCTCTTTATAAGCTCTTGATAAGACCGTAGGACAGCACATTCTCCCTCCTTACATTTAACAGTCTCAGGTTTCATTGAATCTACACAACACACAGAAACAGTTAACAGACAGGTTAAAAATGTTAGTAATCAGATCCAACTGTGATCAGTGGGTTTATCTAATATGTGTAAACTATAATAACACAAACAATATACTGTATGTATTTTTTATCCTAACTAGATGCCTACTGCAGCTTATTCTGCAACACAGGGGATAATCATAACCATTAAGTGCCATTGCTCTGCAGACAATACTAGAGGTTCCATTCATCCTAATATAATAATTAGTAAATATAATATATTTCAGAGATATGACTCTGAAGAGTTAAGTCACCTTTATATATATATATATATATATATATATATATACAGTGGTGTGAATAAGTGTTGACACCCATGCTAAAGTTGCCTAAAAAGAGGAATAAAAAAAATCATCTTTTGGATATTGATCTTAATGCCTTAATTAGAAAAATGAGGAAAACTCCAACCTTTAAGGACACCAATTTTCTTTGTGAATGAATAATGTATCATAAATAAATAAATGTTTTTCCTTAAAATACAGGGTGCATAAATCATGGCACCCCTATGTTAAATTCCCATAGAGTCAGGCAGATTTTTATTTTTAAAAGCCAGTTATTTCATGCAAGTTATTTTATTGGCATGGGGTACTTTCCATAAGATCATCTTTCAATGCAAATCAAAGCAGCTATTAGGCTAACTGAAGTAAAACCATGCCAATCTCTAGGTATGGTGGAAGGTGTGTGATGATGTGGGGATATTTTAATTCCAAAGGCCAAGGGAACTTTATCAGGATGCATATTATCCTGGATCCATGAAATAACTGGCTTTTAAAAATAAAAATCTGCCTGACTCTATGGGAATTTAACATAGGGGTGCCCTGACTTATGAACCCTGTATTTTAAGAAAAAACATTTATTTATTTATGATACATTATTCATTCACAAAGAAAATTGGTGTCCTTAAAGGTTGGAGTTTTCCTCATTTTTCTAATTAAGGCATTGAGATCAATATCCAAAAGATGATTTTTTATTCCTCTTTTTAGGCAACTTTAGCATGGGGGCAAACACTTATTCACACCACTGTATATAGCGCTTTTTACAATACAGATTGTTTTAAAGCAGCTTTACAGAGATAACAGGAAAATAATATTGTACTAGTATTGTTAAATATAAAATGAAATGAAAACAAAGAACAAACAAATCTGGCCATTTGTATTTAGATTTTTGTTGGAGGGAGAGTGTGTTTTGTTAATAGTAAATGTTAGTCTTGTTACATGTGTTATCTGCAAGGTGAACATTTAAACTGACTTAAATATACTTTACAAGTCTATCACCAATAACCAAAAATATACTCTGAAAGTTTATAACCAATGGTCACCAATGCAACAATAATCAGAAAGGTCAAACACTGCAGTGTATCATACTCCAATATTTCATCAAATCATGTTTCTATATGCATAAAGAGATGGTATTGACATTAGTCAGAGTAGCGCCATGTGTCATTTTCTTCCAGGAATAAAAATGAGGAGGCTGTGAGGAATAGAAGTAAAGTGCTTTTGATGGATTTTACTGTTGTTTAACAACATAGCGATTGTTCAGCAGATACACTGGCAGTGCATGTCAATATAAAGATTGTAAGTCTATCCCTCACAGCCCAGTTTTCATCCGTGTTTAATTCAATAGTGTCTAACCTGACTTAGGTTACCCTGAACATCTACAGACTCTGGAACTGCAGGAATTTAGGGTTGTACATGAAGAAAAAACAAGTAATTAGAGTATTATAGGACAGCGCTCACAAATGAAATACAATTTTTTTACATTATATTTTCAATGTTTCATGGCAACATCGACTGTCTATGGGTTCGTAACTTTTTGACAACAAATGACGGTGCCTCTGATTTCTACCATATATTAATAAAAAAAAATCATTAATTATTGTAGTAAATTAAATTGTGGTAAGTTTAAACATTTAGTATGAAAAATATGAGTCTTTTCAACCCTACACTACTGCAATGAAGCTCTTTATTTTTCTCTGTGGGTGGTACTTACCTATTTGTTTTTGTCGTTCAGACCTTCTGTTGCGCTTGAAAATCACAGCAACAACAGGAGCAGCAGCCACCAGAACAGCAACAACTATCCCTACGATAGCACCTGGAGATGGACCTGAAGATGGAAAAGCTACAGAAAGACAGACATTAGTGTGAGTGTGTCTGATCTATAACGCACACTATAAACATCAGCACTATATAACCTGAGTGTAGATCTGATACTGTAATGATAAAGACAGACATTAGTGTGAGTGTGTCTGATCTATAACACACACTATAAACATCAGCACTATATAACCTGAGTGAAGATCTGATACTGTAATGATAAAGACAGACATTAGTGTGAGTGTGTCTGATCTATAACGCACACTATAAACATCAGCATTATATAACCTGAGTGTAGATCTGATACTGTAATGATAAAGACAGACATTAGTGTGAATGTGTCTGATCTATAACACACACTATAAACATCAGCACTATATAACCTGAGTGAAGATCTGATACTGTAATGATAAAGACAGACATTAGTGTGAGTGTGTCTGATCTAGAACACACACTATAAACATCAGCACTATATAACCTGAGTGTAGATCTGATACTGTAATGATAAAGACAGACATTAGTGTGAATGTGTCTGATCTATAACACACACTATAAACATCAGCACTATATAACCTGAGTGAAGATCTGATACTGTAATGATAAAGACTGACATTAGTGTGAATGTGTCTGATCTATAACACACACTATAAACATCAGCACTATATAACCTGAGTGAAGATCTGATACTGTAATGATAAAGACAGACATTAGTGTGAATGTGTCTGATCTATAACACACACTATAAACATCAGCACTATATAACCTGAGTGTAGATCTGATACTGTAATGATAAAGACAGACATTAGTGTGAGTGTGTCTGATCTATAACACACACTATAAACATCAGCACTATATAACCTGAGTGAAGATCTGATACTGTAATGATAAAGACAGACATTAGTGTGAGTGTGTCTGATCTATAACACACACTATAAACATCAGCACTATATAACCTGAGTGTAGATCTGATACTGTAATGATAAAGACAGACATTAGAGTGAATGTGTCTGATCTATAACACACACTATAAACATCAGCACTATATAACCTGAGTGTAGATCTGATACTGTAATGATAAAGACTGACATTAGTGTGAATGTGTCTGATCTATAACACACACTATAAACATCAGCACTATATAACCTGAGTGTAGATCTGATACTGTAATGATAAAGACTGACATTAGTGTGAATGTGTCTGATCTATAACACACACTATAAACATCAGCACTATATAACCTGAGTGAAGATCTGATACTGTAATGATAAAGACAGACATTAGTGTGAGTGTGTCTGATCTATAACACACACTATAAACATCAGCACTATATAACCTGAGTGTAGATCTGATACTGTAATGATAAAGACAGACATTAGTGTGAATGTGTCTGATCTATAACACACACTATAAACATCAGCACTATATAACCTGAGTGAAGATCTGATACTGTAATGATAAAGACTGACATTAGTGTGAATGTGTCTGATCTATAACACACACTATAAACATCAGCACTATATAACCTGAGTGAAGATCTGATACTGTAATGATAAAGACAGACATTAGTGTGAATGTGTCTGATCTATAACACACACTATAAACATCAGCACTATATAACCTGAGTGTAGATCTGATACTGTAATGATAAAGACTGACATTAGTGTGAGTGTGTCTGATCTATAACACACACTATAAACATCAGCACTATATAACCTGAGTGTAGATCTGATACTGTAATGATAAAGACTGACATTAGTGTGAATGTGTCTGATCTATAACACACACTATAAACATCAGCACTATATAACCTGAGTGAAGATCTGATACTGTAATGATAAAGACTGACATTAGTGTGAATGTGTCTGATCTATAACACACACTATAAACATCAGCACTATATAAACTGAGTGTAGATCTGATACTGTAATGATAAAGACAGACATTAGTGTGAGTGTGTCTGATCTATAACACACACTATAAACATCAGCACTATATAACCTGAGTGAAGATCTGATACTGTAATGATAAAGACAGACATTAGTGTGAGTGTGTCTGATCTATAACACACACTATAAACATCAGCACTATATAACCTGAGTGTAGATCTGGTTGTATTTAGTGAGTAAATATATGCCAATGACTGTGATAATTACATATAAACATTAAAATTACATTTAATATTAATTATAGTGTCATCTGAATTATTTATAGACAACCGATAAAAAACTGATAAAGACTCACCACTGACAGTAACAATGAATCTCTTGTATAGGGTCTGTCTGTTGCTGTTGATCTTCAATGTATATTCTCCAGAGTCTGTGTTTGTGGTGTATGTGATGGTCAGAGATCCCGTCTGATGATCCATCTTCAGTCTGTCTCTGAATCTCTCATCAGTGTCGAGTAATGGTGAGCTCTTGACTACATCATATTTAGCTATGAGTTTTCCTTCATCTCCAAACCTCCACACTATCAGCTCATCTCCGTGTGTTTCAGTAACATCAGTCTGAAGAGTCACAGAGTTTCCCTCAAACACTGACACGCTCTTCATTTCAGCTTCACCAACATCAACAACAGATGGAGACTCTGCAAGAAACAGATTCACAGACACACAGATTAAACATGTTGAACACTGTGACTGGCACTAGAATATCAGTTTATATGGTTAATACACAAGGCATATGCAGATTGATAAAGGTAATCAGTTTAGCATGTACAACAGTTACTTTCGGTTGACTAATTTAATGTGTCGTTTCATATAAGAGCACAGGAACATTTCACTATTTGAAACACTACAGTTGTATGTGTCAGTAGATAGAATTACAATTTATAATTCTATACAATTGATCCTGCTTTGAATTATTTCAAAACTTTCACCAATGGAATAAAACTAAAAATATCTGAGCAAATTGTGTGTAAAATGTAAGTCAATCAATATGATTTTATTTCTAAAACTATAGTATATTAGCAGTATCACACTCGCCATCATGCTGATCATATGCGCTGATCATATGTGTGAGATATTCAGAACAACAGCATGACTGTGATATCAATAAACTACAATTCTGTAAGACTGTTGAACACATAAGTAATATTTGCTGGTGAAATCTCAGCTTAATTCAGTTTAATTCATAAAACAAAACAAAAAATGAAAACATCTAACTATAGTTATCGGTAGTAAAAGTATTCTCACCAGAGACAGTAACATTGAATATCATACGTGAGGTCCCAGAGCTGAGGTCGATCTGTACTTTATAAAGTCCAGAGTGTTTGGGTCTCATGTTCTTGATGGTCAGAGATCCCGTCTGATCCAGCTGCAGTTTCCCTGCAAATAAGTCAATGTGACTGGGATATGAGATATCCTTTTCATCGATTTGAGCGATAGTGGAACCTGACTCTCCAAACCTCCACAGAATCAGAATTATTCCCTGTGTTTCAGCAAGACCAGTGTTTAGTGTGACAGATTCTCCCTCCATCACTGACACTGTCTTCACTTCATCTGCTTCAGCAACACACACTCCTGTAGAACAAACAGAAACAGTTTCTAAGAGATTAAACTCATATAACACTGCTAGTGATGTTACTGAAGAGATTTAACTGAGAATAGGCTTGCACAATAATCACAATTTGACTAATTAAAGGGCCCCTATTATGCTTTACAGCTTCATAATTTGGTTTATGGGATCCACCAGAATTTTGTTTACTTGATTTAAATGTTAAAAACCTTTCTCTTTTATTTATGATTTGCATTGTTTGCACCTGTTTTCATACTCAACACTGGTTTATTTTTTGTTTATTTTCGTGCTGAAAAGAAAATCTGCTCTGCTTGGTCAGTCCGAGTCTGTTGTGATTTGTGACTTTAGTTTGGGTTTATCAGTTTGTTCTTGTCTGTCATTATCGGACTTTGGCTCAAACTGATACACAAAACTGACGCCATAATTAGAATTACAGGGTCATTCCGTTCAAAATCAGCCAAATATCAGAAACTTCGACCACATTCTTCGACAAAGATCAATAGTGATTGGAGCCAAAATATGAAATGTCATGAATGTATATTTACTGAATAATCCATTATTTTGTGGAGGGGGGTCAAAATGACAATTTTCACCAAATATTCTGAGCCAAATTACAGAGACGAGTAAAAATGACTTTAAAAAGATGGCAGCATAATTTTATTTTTTTACACAGAGATTGTTAGGCCTGTTAGTGAAATCTGTTGACTTTAGCAATTTGTGTTGCATTATATACCAACAGTGACAAAAAAAGAATAGACAACAAATAAAAGTTAATAAAAACAAAAACAGAAAAAAAATATTAATACAAATAGCTGTTGAACGATCATGAAGAGACATCTGCAATCAAATGGAAGTTTAAAAAAATGTGTCTTAAGAAGAACTTTAAAAGTGCCAAGAGTCTGTGCTTCTCTTAGATCTGGAGGGAGAGAGTTCCAAAGTGTTGGAGCATAGACAGAAAAAGCCCTGTCACCCATAGATTTCAGATGTGTTCGTGGAATAGTACTTGGCCGTATTTGAAGGCCGATTTCGTCACAGCCGCAAGACGAAGACTGTCCCAATTCCAAGGCCGCACCCTCCAAAATGAAATTTTAAAGCAGCAATAATAATCCTTTCCATTATAATAAGATGACACGTTTTACATGTTGGATATACATTGTGTAAGTAGCTTTAAATTTTGCTCTATTTTTCTTCAGTTCACCGACCACTTGCTCATGTATTTCGTGACACAAACCATGGCACTTGCACATATTTGAAAATCGAAATGTCAGTGTTTCATGCTATAGCTAAAACATTTGTGAATATTTTGAATAAAAAGGGGGAAAATGACAAAAGCAGATCATCATTCATTCAGCGCTGTGTTGTGGTTGTGCTGTGTCACGTGACAAGCAATGACGCGTCACCATGGAAGCATCAAAGTGACAGGTTCTAAATAACGGTCGCCTTGAAAAACTCACACTGGGGGGTCAGTTAAAATATTTTAAACTTACATGTGAAAGGGCTAAACTAAAATATTAATTTAGGTTAATTTTCACAAAAATAAATAAATAAAATAATTTAATAATTTTAATTTAATAATTAAAAAATAAAAAAATGTGAAAATGTAATTGGCAAAATGTGATTTTTAAATGGCATATTTTATCAGTAAAATCCTGTTTATATTCATGGTGAGATTGAGAACATTGTACAAGTACATTGAGAACTTGTACAATCAATATTCTTACTTATACGCTAAAATTTACACTCGCAGCTCCAATGTGAAAACCTGTCAAATAAAACTGCCGAGCCATTGTGTTGTGTGTTGTGTTGTGTGTGTGTGCGTGTGCGCTCATTTTTATTTATACAAAAAACAAAACTAGAGAGATAGTTTATGCTGGTTATAACATGCCAATAAAGAAGAGAGAAAGAGGGACCAGTTTAATCCTTCCAGGTATTTGTCGATGGCAGATGGCAGATGAGTCCAGAACATGAACGCAATGAGTTTGTTTAACATAGTGGTATTAAAAGACCAAACTCAGGAAACACCATACTAATAAAGTGTACAGAAAAGAAAATGAGCACAGAAAATGTTTAAATGTAGTTAATTATTTTCCTCCCATATAAATTCCCTGCTTAATTTATATTTATTAATTTAGCATACACTTTTATCCAACGAGACTTACAAATGAGAACAAGCAACTAACAATAGGACAACAATATGCAAGTGCTAGGTCATACGCATGTACTTTGAGGTTTAATGGACCAACAGTTATAAAAATAAAAACATACACAATTCGTTATACATTATTAATAAAACACTGCCTGTGTTAAAATACTGCCAGCAGGTTTATTTGCACTGAACACAAATTTGCTTTCTTTCGTCATATTCTGGGCTCATCTGCTTTTCTGTAGATATGCATTGCTTAGCTAATTAGTTCGGTGCCTGCGGAGATTGATAATATCATTTATTTATTTTAATGTCAGTCTAATGTTTTAAGGCACGTCAAAGAGTATAGAAAGCAAATAATAAGTTATTAGCGATTAGCGGATTAGCGATTGCCTAGTCACTCTAGTGGTTTTGTGTTCTCATCCTGCCTGGGGGAACTAGCAACCGGAATCCATTATCTTAATCCAAACTAGTTTTTTTACACACATACGGAATGCAAAAAAGCTGTTATATCTGGTTTTAATTTTAACCTTAAACAGGAGGGTATGTCTAAATTCATTTAAATACATGTGATTATTTTCCTAAGGTAACGTTACGTTAATGAAGTTCAGGAAGAAGACAACAGTCAATGAACGATATGTTATCGCTGCCAAAGTGAAACCGAAAGTGTTCAAAATAAACTGAAATCGAGCACTTACCGTATATTAGCAGAACAATCTGAAAGAATTTGAAGCTGAGCTTCATACTGTTGCAGATTTCAACGAAACCTAATTTCGATTTCTTGTAATATTCGTAGATTGTTTCTGAACCACACCCTACCGAATGAAGGCGACGATTGTTAACCCTACGTACTAAATACCAACAGAGAGTTTTTTTCCCGACTGTGGCTGACTAAATAATTAACACGATAACCAACAAAAGAAGAAGTGCGTTTAACGTCACTTTTCCAAATTTGGAAAACAAAGCGCAGAAGACCGCAATGGCGGAGACTCTAACTGTTTTCTTCTTTACAGTGGATCACAAACTAAAAAGGAGCATTACCGCCACCTGCTGTTTCTACTAGATTAGACGACTTTCTTCTTTGTACAGTCTTGCCACCCATTTTTGAGTGTTTAGTTTTTACTTGTCTTTAACAAGACAATACAAAACAAAATATGCATTAGGAAATACAGAAAAATGACGAGGAAAACAAAATACAAGGTACAAAAAAAGGCCTACACATAGGCTAAATAATCACAACTCTAATAACAACAATAACAAATTATTTTATATTTGTTTCTGTGTGGGCCGTAGCCAGCTATGAGGTCACCGAGGTCCGGACCTCGGTCTTTTTTTTTACATTCAAAAATAAAATGTCATGCTCTCTGACTCTGAATGTGTTCGCAATTCGTTGCTGCGAGAAGCTAGCAATATTATGAAGCTGCAGACTCGGAGCCTGCATCTACAGTCCCCCACCCAGAGTCCCGCATTCTCAGACCCCTCTTTTTTCGAACACAGCGCCTCCTGCTGTTCAAAAGATATAGTATAACACCCGCACACAGAGTTCCAATATTATGAAGCTGCAGACTCGGAGCCTGCATCTACAGTCCCCCACCGAGAGTCCCGCATTCTCAGACCCCTCGTTTTTCGAACACAGCGCCTCCTGCTGTTCAAGAGGTCGAATAACACCCGCACACACAGTACAGCGCACGATTATCCAAATGCAATTAAAAACAATAGGATGCAATATTACGGTCTCCAAATAAATTATCCAATAAATATTTGCGTTCCCTATGTGCAGAAAAAAACTAATTGTTACTGATGGAAGGGATACAATTACAGATTGAACTATCTTCAGAAAAATAGTATGTGATATTATATTGTTTTTTTATATATTTTTTTATTCAAATTCCAATTTTTCTTTCAGTTCAACCTATAATGGTCTAATTAACATTACGATGCTAAGATTACAAAATCTGTTTTTTGATATTTTGAATGCGAAGCAAAACAAATCAGAATAGACAAAACACCAATAAAATAAACAATTCCTACTTTATTTAAGATAATGATCACCTAAACATCATCTTGCTGTAAAGAAAAAAGGAAGGAAAAAATGTGTTCGTGACTTTACTTTTCGTCTTCAATTGCATTAAAAAACTCATTTATAAGTCGCTTTGCATAATCCTAAAATGATGTTGCTGGGTTAGGCAGGGGCAACTCCATCGATGTATGGTGTACCCTGCCTACAACATAGGACGATAGCACATGTCTTATGATGTTTCAAAGCTAAATTATAAACGTTAGCTATCTAAATATTTTCGGGGGAAAAGGGCGAAAAAACATAGCCTACATTAACGGCTCAAATCTTGTTACAAACTAACTTTACAAATATTCAATGGACTATTCATATGTTGTATCGATGAGCTAAATTAGTTTTATTAAAAAAATGAATCAAACGAGTAGGCTACTACGATTCGCTAAATAAAATTGAAGATACTCACGTTTATGTTTATCCGATACAATTTGATAGGAGGCGCTGTCTCGAAAAACGAGGGGTCTGAGAATGCGGGACTCTGGGTGCAGGGGGACTGTAGATGCAGGTCTCCGAGTCTGCAGCTTCATACTACTCGATACATCTATTCTACACATCAAGAGAGGCGGGACTTAAGGCAGAACAGCCAATAAACAGCCGGTCACACTCAAAGCCGGTGTCTGTCAAGTTTGAGAGGAGGCGAGGAGGCAGCCGCAATGAGCGCAGTCAGCGCACACACAGAGCGCAAGAGAAACGGAGGAGCGACTGTAGTATGGCGTTTTGCAAAACTGCGGAAAAACTGCAGAAAAAGTGCGGGTGTTGAACACTCTTACGGGGAAAAGTGTGGGTGTTAAAACACCCACATCCCCCACGGGTGCGACGCCCCTAGGGGGGTCCAGCCTGGGTTCACCTCAAAGAGCATGCACAGAGAAGTCCAAATTAAACATGATTTAATGACTCGTACATGTAAGTACACATTGATGGCCTAAGACACGAAACGAGCGGTTTGTGTGAGAAAACGAACAGTATTTATATCGTTTTACCTCTTGTAATCATAGCCATGACAAAATGATCTGACGGCACGGGCGCTTCGGTCTGCGCATGCGTCGGAAGTGATCGCTTGCGCACCGACGTCACTCTTTGTTTATACAGAGATTTCGGAAGTTTTACTTTTTAATAAACATATTTAGATATACGGGAAACCGCAATGGAAGACGATTTCGCTATATCTAAATATGTTTAGTAAAAGGTAAAACTTCTGAAATCTCCGTGTAAATATTGAGTGACGTCACACGCAAGCGATCACTTCCGGCGTAACATTGAACTGATTTGGTTCGGTTCAGTTGGATATTGAACAACTGATTCAGATCACTTGGACGTCACTGTGATTACACGAGGTAAAAACGATATAAATACTGTTCGTTTTCTCACACAAACCGCTCGTTTCGTGTCTTAGGCCGTCAATGTGTACTTACATTTACGAGTTATTAAATCATGTTTAATTTGGACTTCTTTGTGCGTGCTCTTTGAGGTGAACCCAGGCTGGACCCCATAGACCTCCATTATATGACTGACTGACAACAACGGTTTGACTGAAAAATGTCAAAATTGAAAATAGTGTGGAAACAAAGACACCTACATCTTGGATGCCCTTGAGGTTAGCTAAAACATATTAAAAATTAATTTCAAAGTGAACTATCCCTTTAAAGGACAAGTTCAGTATTTTCATAGACAGTAAAAAGACTGAAGCCCGATTATTGCACTTCCTGTCTGATGTCTGAGCGACTGCACAGGCTCAAACTGAGCTTGACGACAGTCTGACAGTTGAAAATCTTCTAGTAGCTGTGCAAGCCAAAACGTTGTTAAAATAATTTCTCCCGTTGCTTTTATGGACTCTCTCTATGGGCTTTTTTATGCCTCCATGTTCCCCCGATTGCCTAATAGACAGTAAAAGATTGCATGCGAGCTTCTCCTCCTGTCTATACGGTAATTTCTCAATTGTGCGACAAAAAGTTGCATATTGATGACGCAATCGTTAGCCTATTTTTCACAAAAACGGCATCTACGGGGCCATAACGTATATACAAAGTAATGGAGCGTTTTATACTGTACATTGTAGTGTTTCTTTAGAAATAAATAATGGACAAATGAAGTCTTTGGACACCTCGGAGGGAATCTCCAGAGTCTGGAGATGCTGGAGATTCCCTCCGCTAGGGATGGGGAAATGAAGCTTCATGAAGCAATGAGGCTTTCCCCTGACTGTTCCGGGAAAAGATTCAAAGCTTCGAGAGTGTCGAGAACAGCGCCATCTGGTGCTTATTTAAAATAAAGCAGCCAGAAGCTCTGGCAGATGAAGCAACCACAACACACTACAGAGTTTCAATGTTATGTCTACAAATAAAAACCTTACATGTTTGTTTGATTTGTTCATTTGATAAATTCATTTTCCCATTAAAGTGTATATAATATAAGCTTAAGTGCAAAGATATAAGCTTAAGTGCAAAGATTTTACAAAAACAAAAAGACAAAACAAAAAAGAAGACTAAGTAGCCTAGTGAAAAATAAATGTTGGTTATTTAATGAATTATATTTATTAACTTTCAAAGTACAGCACTCTCCTCAAACACCCATCAACCAGACTGAGGCAACATTGACTCGTTAAAGTTCGAGCCTTCTGACACCCAAAGCGAAACTCGCACGTGACTCTGGGAAAACCAATACACACCACGATACGGGGCTTCACTAGAAATAAGGTGTGTTCGACATCGCCTGCGGCTGGATGCAACCGATCGGCGAGAACAGCCGCGTGCAGGCGGGGAGGAGCTGCAAACGGACACGTGAAGTCGGACAATTTCTGGTTCCCGTAGTGACGGCTCACGTGGTGTTTGCATGCTTATACCACAGCTGAAGTGAAATAAATGCAACATTTGCCAAATAAACAGATATTTCAGACACATTTTCATTCAATACTTTACTGCTTCATACAGCATCTGTTTGAACAAGAATAAAGTTCAAAATAAGCCTATAATCAATGACGTGGAATCCACGTTTTTGAATCAGTTTTATTTTGAGAAACATGATAAACATGACACAATATAACATTGCGACTACATGAAAAGAGTGTTTACTGTTATAAAATACTGATTAGTGGAACTAAACGTGTGAGAATAAACACGAAACGCACGTGATCGTTGTCATGCGGTGAATCCGGCGAATCGTGGAACAGCTGTGACATCATCAGAGCTCGTGCAGCCGCTCTTGAGAAGCTGCGCTGGCTGAGTCCTCCGGCTACTCTCGTATCGCTCTCGCGGTACTTTGATGGCATACGTCACAGTCACGTGGAGTCAGCGCTGCATCAAGTCGGACAAAATTTCTAACCGGCATGCACTGTTTCAAGTCAGCCGACGATCGGTCTGCGCAGAGCTGCATGAAGTCGAACAAGCCTATTGTGTCGCATATGTGATACGCGCATCGAAGCTTCAGTGTCATACGTAACATCACTACCCTCCGCTTTTGTCAGTAATACTCTTCCTCTCAAGGATAAGTCTCTTTGTAGCCAAGAGTTTAACTTTTTTGTTGTTTTTTAATGATTGGGCTAAAATTTAACGGACTTCTTATATTTTGGTCTTTAGTTATTATTGTTCCCAGGTATGTAACCTGATCCTTCACAAGAATGACACATGTTTGAAAAATCACAATCTTTAACTGCCATCAGTTCACATTTGAGACCTGAAGCTTGTAACTATCCTAGTTGAATAACCTCTGATCAATTCTATTGCAAGGGGAATCTGGGATGCTTTTCTCAGGAAGATGGTGGTGTCATCGGCCAGCTGACTATGATACTTCTTTCAGCCAATGTTTTGCCTTCCAAGGCACTGTTAGAAACATGTAGAGCTGAGATTTGAGAGGCGATCAAAAACAGGTATGGGGAGATAGGGCACCCTTGTTTGATTCCACGGGACACTTTGAATCTAGGGGAAGTACCGAATTTCAATTTTATTGCACTACTACCATTTGTATACAGGGTCCTGACAGTTCTGCAAAAGACATCTCCAAATCCAAATTTGTGAAGTGCTTGCAGAATAAAACCATGTTCAAGCGAGTCAAACGCCTTATAAAAATCAAGGAACAGAATGAAGCTGTTGTCAGTGATGATGAGCTCATTATAATCTAATAAATCTTGCACTAATCTAATGTTATTTGCGATATGTCGTTTCCTCATGAACCCAGATTGTGATTCATCTATAGAGTCTAACAATTCTTTAAGTCTATTAGCGAAAACTAGTGCAAAAATGTTGTAATCGTTATTTAATAGAGTGATAGGACGCCAATTCTCTAGACAGTTTTGGTCCTTTTCTGGTTTTGGAATCAATGTGATGACACCCTGTGTCATAGTCAACCTGATCTCACAGAAATGCGTGAAATGTACACGACCCCGATATGCGTGGTGGTAGCACGGAATGTGTTGAAATTACGTGGTGGCATCACGGAAACAGCACCACCAGAAGTTATTCTTTTATGATTTTTTCCCCCCAAATAGGAATGCTTACCGAAATGTTTCAGTGCATTTTATTAAGTCACAAAGGTGGAGCTAGCACTTTGATAAAAGAAATTAGGGTTTGAAACCCTATGAACAGCCTGTAAACAGCAGTAGTTAGTAGCTATAATGCAAACAAAACAAATGTATATTTTGAGCCATAACCAGTATGGAAAGGTGTGGATGGGGAGACTGAGACTGAATGGGGCTCCTTTGCACCACAAAACAATAAAGACAATAAACTGAATAGAGGACTTAGAAGATGACTAAACATCAGTTTGCATTTTAGAGTCTAATCAAAATAAAGTAATTTGACATGATCTTGAAAGACATGTAACTAAATACAGAGTTTTAGACTTATCATTTTCGGATTTTAAATATAAAATGGTCACACATATGGCTTTAGCTGCAGTGCATTTCTAGATTGCTACAGGGCCAACTTCAATTTTATTCAATTTTCATCATTCATGAAGATGTTTCATAAAAATAAAATTTCTAATAACTTTACAAAACTTTGGAGCTATTTAAAAAATCTTTTTCATTATGACAATAATAAATTCTACATTTACAATAAACTACCAGGTGTAAGCTTTCAAATGAGATCATACTTGTGCTTTTAGTGCAAAGAGTTCATGAATTGTATCTGTTTCAGTTTGGGTATGTAATTTCTGGGGATTTTCAAAAGTGGGGTTGAAGCTTAACAGGTTTGATTTAATGACTCACAAATGTAAGTACACATTGATGGCCTAAGACACGAAACGAATGGTTTGTGTGAGAAAACAAACAGAATTTATATAGTTTTTACCTCTTGTTAACAGCCATGTCCAACTGATCTTAATCAGATGTCTAACTGAACCGAACTGCATGTTCAAGCTTGCGCCGGAAGTGATCGCTTAGCCTATGCGTATACGTCACTCATTGTTTACACAGAGATTTCGGAAGTTTTACCTTTCACTAAACATATTTAGATATATCGAAATCGTCTTCCATTGCGATTTCCCGCTTATCTAAATATGTTTAGATCTTCACTGTGAAAGGTAAAACCGAAATCTCTGTGTATGCCTTCGTTACTCAGAAAAACCTTGTAAACATTAATTGACTGGTTAGTACCATTTTGCCCCCTCCCTGCACATTGCCATTGGCGGAATGGTTTATGAGGCAGGGTAAATTTAATTTTCACTAATTTCTTCCACATTTGCAGCCATCGTTATTCTTATTCATCTTGAAATAGTCATCTTGAATATTATTGTCAATACATCTACAAATTTTTGAAGAGCATCAAGAGGTCACTTTATAATTTTGTAATTCTCTTCCAACTGATTGCAATGATGCAACATGAAATCACAATTATTTTATTTCAAAGGAAGTGAAGCAATAAATATATATATATATAGCCTATACATTTTTTTAATGATTTAATTATTTGACGTTACAATTTTTTTGTTGTTGTTGTCTCTTGTATTACCCCAATAACGATGGCAAATAAAATTGGAATGGTAAATTACTGTACAGATTTCCAGATGAACAGATTTGGAAAGGTGTGCTGTCTTATCATTCCTCCATCTATTTGAAATCCATGGATCACCCTTAGCCTATGTTTTGCTGCTTTATACACACAAATACAATTGAATATTACAAATTAATTAAATACTATCTAGTATGGAAGCCCGTCTCATTTACTGATGATGATTATTCACTGCGGAATGTGCCATGTTTGCTGTGATGCATTTACACGGCTTTGACCAGCGGATGTCGCTAGAGGCACTTCCTTCTGCTCCGCTGCTTTGTGCATGCGTTGAAGTGCGAGAAAATAAGTAATTATTAAGAGAAGTTTCTCATTATTATGAGATGTTAAGTCATTATTACGAGAAAGTTTCTAATTATTATGACTTATAGAATTATATGTTTTACTCAACTGTGGCGGAAACGGGCTTCCATACAACAGCAAGTGGTTTCTAGAGCTCTAAGTGTGGAGGGATAGAGTTGTAGGGAGAGTTATTAGATATACTAACTCCACCCATCAGGCCCAAATTACATTCGCTCCTCCCTGGACACAAGCTCCACCCGTTTGGCGTTTATTCACACACTGACAGCAGGCTTGACAGAACAGACCAGCAGCACAGTCCGTTTCAGCTCTTCTATTACCAAACATTCATTGTTAATTATAGCATTTATGTTTTGTGTGTGTGTGTGTTTAAAGAGCCTTTAAAAATAGGAGCTGTTGTTATTTGAACCATTCAGCGAAATGCCAAAGAAAATATTTGAAGCGTTTATATTCTTCTATTGGTGTGGTAAGTCATTAATTTTCAAGTTTTGTCAGACAAATATAGGCTACTCTGTTTGTTTATTTTGTTTCTTTGTCATATTTTTTTTATTCATGACATCAAAGGGTTTCAACTATTGCCATTTTTTAATATACATTGAAAATAGTGAAGTGAAGTGAGTTGCAATGATTCATTTTTAAATTGTTTCAAATTGACAAAAAATCTGGTAAATCTCCAAATGTGGTAAACCTGAGTAAATTGTGAGTAAATATTTCTGTTTGTTGTTCAGGAGTGTTTGGTGTTGATGCCGTGAAGTCAGTGTCAGTGACTGAGGGAGAATCTGTCACTCTAAACACTGATACTGAAAAACAGAAAGATGAACTGATAATGTGGAGAACTGTACACAACGACAGTCTCATAGCTAAAATCAAAGGAAATAACTTTAAGACAGATGTTCTTGAGAGATTCAGAGACAGACTGACACTGGATGAGAAGACTGGATCTCTGACCATCACAAACACCAGAACCACAGACTCTGGACTTTATAAAGTAACTATTGACAAATCAGTGACCCCGCTTAACACATTCAATCTTACCGTCTATGGTGAGTAGAGAATTACTACCATGTTTATATATATAGGCCTATATACACTACCATTCAAATATTTGGGATTGGTATAGGCTTTTTTATGATTTTGAAAAGGAATCTCTCATTACATAAAAATTAGTCAATATTATGACAATTTAAAACAACCGTTTTCCATTGAAATATTTTAATGTAATTTATTCTTGTGATCAAAGCTGAATTTTCAGGTTCATTACTTCGTTCTTCAGTGTGTCACATGATCCTACAGAATCATACATGATTAAAACTCATACTAATTCAGGCTTATTTTATGAATATAAAGTTTTATTTAATTTATTTAAATATAATCATTTTACATTATAAATGTCTTTACTGTTGACCCCAAACTTTTGAACAGTTTTGTATAATGTCACAAAAATAGAAAACAGTTATTTTAAATTGCAATAATGTTGTACAATATTACTGTTTTTTTATCAAATAAATTAAGCCTTGGTGAGCATAAGAGACATTTAAAAGCTTCTTAAAAATTATTTTAAAAATAAATAAATTCAAAAATCCCAAACTTTTGAGCAGCAGTGTTTGTGTGTGCGCGTGCAGGATGGTCTTTTAAAAATGAATAATATTCATGATTACTGAGAATATTATAAAATTATGTAAAGACAATTCTGTAAAAAATATTTGTGCATTTATGCATTCTTGTAATTACATCTTTTAATAATATAGCCTACATTTTATACATTTGTTTCTCTGCTACATTCATTCAATTTGAAATGTAATGAACTGACAAATATCACAGCGATCTATAATCTATACTGAATTTGATTTATTCTGTTTTTAAGCTCGCCTGCCTGTTCCTGTCATCAACCATTCATCAAAACAATCATCATCATCATCATTATCATCATCATCTTCATCAAACTGTTCATTGCTGTGTTCAGTGTTGATTGAGAGTGATGCAACTCTCTCCTGGTATAAAGGAGTCAGTGTATTGTCCAGCATCAGTGTGTCTCATCTCAGCAGAAACCTTTCATTGCATCTGGAGTGTCTGGATGATGCGTACAGCTGTGTGCTCAACAATACCATCAGCAACCAGACCACACATCTCAACACTGAACTCTGTGGGCCATGTTCAGGTGCAGGTACATGGCACTAGCCTAAATAACTGATTTAATTTCTACTGATACTTATTTTAATTTCCTTTAAAAAACCTTACTTTTCCTTTAAAAACTCTTACTTTTCCTTTAAAAACTCTTACTTTTCCTTTAAAAAAACTCCCTCCTAGGCTGTTGTTGGTTTAATAATCTTCAAAATATGCACACAGCAGCTTGGAATGATGCTGGCAAAAATATATAAAAATAATGTCTAGCTGTCAAAGCGTTAGAAGTTAATTGATTGGTCAGGAAACATTCAAATTCTTTTTACACAAGTTGACCTATAGTCGCTGAGCACAATGTCCAAGCGTAACGAAATTTGACTCGCAAAGACAACAGGACCTTCTGTGTTGTGTGCAGGCAGGCAGACAAATGCAAATGCAAAAGTTTATTTATAATTATTCAATGTAGCAAAAATACACGTGACCGGACACCGAACGACGGTAAATGACATCTGAGACATTAACTCATAATGACAGAAACCATGATGACCAAGGACTGGAGGGAAAATGAACAAAGGAGACTAAAGCCCATGATTACTAAACAAACAGAACTCGATGTTGATATTCTGATGCTGACAATAAATTTCATAAAATTTTGATAAATGGGGGCGCTAAAAACAATAAAACATAACTGTTATATTATATTATACAATCACAAAATGAAATATAGCCGCAAGCACCATCAAACTGAAATGTGTCAAACTGATGTGGTTTTAACAGAAAAGTCCATCTTGAATCTTCAATGATAGTTAAACTGGAAGAATTGATACATTAGAAAACGCTGGTTCAATCTGGTTGAGGAACGACCACTCCCTGAGAAGACAAAGGACCTTTCTGGAAATCTACATTTGACTCTCTTGAAAAACTAGCATTCCCGAGTCAATCGCGTATACCCCATGTCGCCTCTCTCTCATGCTGAGGTCACTAGATATTGTTAGGGGTTAACAGTCAAAAGACCCAGAACCCTTCAATATTCACCCAAAAATATATTTGGTTAAATGTGAATAATTATCATACAGTATTTTATACAAGTTTGGTATCATTTGAAATGTCTCAGTGCGACTGGTATTATTCCCAGATAAGTAAACCATAAGGTCATACAGTCTTTCATAGACTCAGCGTCTATTTCTTGAGTCAGGTACATCTTATACTCTTTATCTCTGATCATTTGATGTTATTGTATTGATTATCTTTGAACTGATTATGAAATTGGCATGATACATTTTTACATTTGAATTTATTCCAAATTACTCTGAAATTATTTTCTCCAGTAGATTAAGTGAAGTCTTGTGTTTCCGCAAATCTGTGTCCAAGATTAAGTTCATACTAGATCCCAGTGTAGATGGAGCGTGAGTCACATGTGGGATTCTAGATTCCTGACTAACTGCTTAACTTTCACTAAGTTGTTATGCAGTCGCAAATAGGGGGCTATATAGCCTACATACTTTTAAGATAATAGAAAGCGTTGAAGTTGCATTATTTTAGCCATGATGACCTCTAGTTATCTATAAGACTGGCGAGATTGTGACCGTGAGATCCGCGTAAACGGCCTAATGAACAAGTAAAATATAAAGTAAAGAGTTAAATAGAATAATCAAATATATTTCTAAACTATTAGCCTATATAATTGACCAACAACCAATTGGCTTTATGCCCAGCTGCACTACTTCCTGAACTTAAGCCAGCTCCTTGTTTCCTGTCTGCTATTATTGGCCAAATTGATTAATTCAGGTGTGTCTGATTATTGTTGCCATGACTACTGAGGTCAAGCACATTTGAAATAATCAATTTGACCAATAATGGCAGACAGGAAACAAGGAGCTGGCTGAAATTCAGGAAGTAGTGCAGCTGTGCATAAAGCCCATTGGCAATCTGACCTAAATTCAAGGTTGTGATAAATGGGAGTCAGATAAATGCTTAAATGGAACTAAATTATTTTGCCACGCTGAAAGACAATAACACGGTTGCAGAGACCACCTGCTTATCAGAAACGGTCGTTGGACCGATTTAGATGGGCTTTCAAGGATTTGATAAGAAGAGGTTACCACAATACATGGTCAAAAAACACAACTGACTTAAAGAAATCACTCTCTCTTACTGTTAGATAAAAAAACTTCATAAAATATGTGAAAGTATATAGTATAGTGTTTTAAGTAATGTAATTTGTGCATATAACGTGGTGTATGTGTGGAATCATATCATTTCTACATTTAGATGAATCGCATGTCATAGAAAGTCAAAGGACAATTTCAAATGATCGAGAATGTCACGTTGCGGCTCAAAACTTTATTTATATGAAGCATTTATCTCAAAGCTCTTTCATTTTTATAATGTATCTACTGTATGTATCTTTATAATCTATCATTTCTAAACTTATGCTTGCAGTTTAACATTGAGTATTACATGAGTATTAAAAATGTGTATTATTGGGATCTGAAATATGTGAACATTTAAACATCTATTAGCATTTCACAGACTTCTGTATACACTTTTAAAAACTATTCTGTCAGTTGATCATATACAAATAAACTAGATCAATGTTTCCATCAAATCGAATTGTGATAAATTAACAATTTTTTATAACTTTTCTTGCCAGCAATGTCTGTAGCTGCTGTGTGCATATTTTGGTGATGATTGGACCAACAGCATAGGAGGAATTTAAAAAAGTCGTTAAAAAATAAAATTTAAATAAAGACAGTTGAAGAAAATGATTGACTAAATTGAATTTAGAGATCATTTGTCAAGCTTGAAAAATACAACCTTAAGGTTAAGGTTAACCTTAAGGTCTTCTAGGCCTTACAGTTCTAAAGTTATGATCCAAAATTATAACACCACCTAGTGTCAGACAGGTGTATCTGAACACGATTGAGACCGTCCTGCTGAGTTTGGGGTCTCTGAGTTTTACGGCCCATATACTTTACCTAAAACCCCTAAAGAATCGTGTTTATATTCTAACATTGCTCATTTCTTCTCTCAAAAGACTTTAACTGCTGGTGTGGTTTCACTGAAGCTGTGATCCGATTGGCTCTCTCTGCTCTGGTGGGTGTGGCTGCTGTTGCTGTTCTGGTTTATGAATTTAGATCCAGAAGTCTTCAACAGAAGAAGAGAGCGCAAACGCCATCAAACTCTGATTAATCAGAGACTCCGGAAGGTGGAGATGTTCCTGAAAAACTGTAGACATTATATTACATTTTTTTTCAGTTCCAATCAGTTGCGTTTGTATATCACTTTTCATAATACAAATTCTGAAACAGATTTTCAACCATTCAGCATCACAATATACACTGACTAATCATAAAATCAAAAAGTATAAATATTTTTTTTTTTTTTTGTATTCTGGTGTATTTGTATTAATGTAAAATTTATAGCACTATATTCTAAAATAAAAAGTATAGTAATATTATTGTGCCCGTTTCATCACTGTTGTATTAATGACAGCACATAAAATGTGGTGACATCACTGTGGTGATGATTATAATGTGAACAGACTGTCTTTAATTATGGGAATCTTTTCTTTTGACTATAACTACAGTATTACTCATGTTTGTTAAGAGTATTTTATTTTAGACTATGTTTACACGGAAACGATCTGAAGAGAAAACGCAAAAGTGGCGTTGCGTTATCACTTTTTATTCTGCATTTAGACGAGCGTTATTTGTGGGAAATCCGCGTGCATATTGTGATGCAAAAGTGTGTGAAATGCAATGTAGTATGCACTCCAGGCGGCAAGATGGCGATGTGGAGCACTGCCACACAACAACACCAAGTCCGCGCGCCTGCGTACCTTCAATGTCTAGCAGACACTTTTTTGCGTTTTTAAGCCCCAAAAACGTTGTCTCCGTGTAAACGAAAGGCGCATCCGATAAAATATTTTTACGTTTTCACCCGCAAGCGTTCTCGTGTAAACAGGGCCTAAGGCTACATTAATCCAGATTCATTTGAAAATGGCGCTTTCGTTTAAAAACGCTCTCCATCCACAATAGTGTTTTAAAGATGTTTGTGCTTTCAAAAGTGTTTCAGAAGTTGTTGTGTCTTATACAAATTTAGCAATAACTTAGGATGAAGGTACTGGATGATGGAGGAATTGATGCCAGGAGAGGGCATCATACATGTGATTTCCCCAAAACAGTTAAACACAAATCCGGCCCAGCATTTTTTATATATATATATATATATATAATTTTGTTTGTATTATCATAATTAATGTATAAACCCACAACAAACTTGCTTTTGAAAACACTGTAGTTAAAACATTAAACATTTTTGTAATTGTTAGCCTATGCTTCTTTTAGTGTCAATACATTCAAATGAGACAACTCAAATCACTTAGATAATGATAGTAATTTAACATTTAAATCTTGGAAAAAAAACATCTAATGTTGGTAAAACATCCATCCTTTCATAACCAACCCATGCGTAAAAACAAATTTTTGTGTATAAATTACACGACAAACACACTGCGTGCTATAAAGAAGCATTTAGTGTGATCATGAGACGGGATCCAGGTTCACGCCCTGGCGCCTTCGTTTCCCTATATGAAGTTTTATTAATAACTAAGTTCGGGAGGAGCACGTTCAGATAATTAACACGAGTGGACAGCAATCAGCAATCAGCAACCAATGATAAGAGGGTATATATAGACTCAGCAGTCTTACCTCGATCCATTGGCAGTTTGCAGCATCCCTGCTCCACCCCTTCTTCCACACTCCTAGTCCTGCACACTCCTCTTTCTAAAAAATCACTTGCATACGGGGGGAGTACTCTGGGTTCGGGCAGAATTCCGAGCTCGGAGCCCTCCCTCCGGACAGCACGCCAAATACGCATTGAATCTTACTCACTCAAAATTATATGTAAGTGTGAACTCGTGAACTACTATATTTGCTTCTTGTTTATTAATCCAGTCAATTTGTTAATGAAAACATTGATTAAAATGAAGATACAATTTCTTCAAAACGAAATTCATTAAAGGGGGGGTTGACTGCTTTTTTTCTTTGCATGATTGTGTTTATGGGGTGCAATATAACATGTATTCGTGGTTTTTCTTTTTTAAAGTCTTATTTTTCATAAACTTCACCTTTATTGTAAGCCGTGGTCTCCTCTGTCTCCTGAACGAGCGGTTCACTTGCTGATTCTATGAAACCACTCCCTCAGAAACAGGCAAGGGGCTCAGATTGGTTCATTTGGGCCGGTGTGTTGTGATTGGCTAAACTGTCTCTCACGTTGACTCTCATGTTGTCCGGAAGGTTAACGCCCATTACCTTTACGGGCGAAACGGGCATGCCAAAGGTGGATACCATCATAGACGTTGGAACAGGGGGGGCGGGAGGGGCGGCCGCCCCCCCTCCTACGGCCGCCCCCCTCCCCCGGCCGCCCCCTAAATTCACCTAAGCACGGGCGTCAGTTTGAAATTTGCTGGGCACAGAGACACATTCGGAAGTGCTGGGTACAAACTTGTCAAACTGTGCAGCCTTTCTATTCAACCCATAAATAAATACGTCGATCCGCCAGACTTCATTTGACCGTTTTAATGGTCTAGTGGTAGCTCTTTTGCCCAGAGTGCCAGAGGTTATGGGTTCTAATCTGCCCTAGGTACAGTTTTTTTTCTCTCTCATCAAAACAGAATATGTCCATCTGTGGTTACAGTCAATATCAAGCATAGGACACATTTATTTTGTGATTTTACCGGAATGAATAGAGTCTCCGACGTAAAGGCGATTAAAGTGCGCGTCCGAGTGAAGACTGCGCGCCACAGAGAACATAGCCTACAACTGACAGCAGCGGCAACAAGCGTTCCTCTTGATTTCAAAAACAAAACATTTTAGCGCTAGATCTCTTATTTAAACGAACTAAATTAATGCTCTGCTTAACAGGATATGTTTTATTCATGTTTAAAACGTTTTATTTTCCGATATATGGTGACTCAAGCACTGATGGATCGAGGAGCGGTCCATCAGTAGAGTCACCATATCGGAAAACATTTGGAATGGGTCAGACATAGCCCACAGTAATTCTGACTTATTATGTTTTTTAAAAGAATTTCGTTTTTATAAATTGTATTTCATTTTAATCAATCATTTTAATCAACAAGTTGACTGATAAATTCTCAGAAAATGGATTTAATACCAATATTTTGAAACGGTGCGTAATTCCGACAGCCCCCCCCCCCCCCCCCACCGGGAATCCCGCCCCCCCTCTCACAAAATAGTTCCAACGTCCCTGGATACCATAGACGGTGGATACACGTAAATAATGATGTCGAGACTGTTTAAAATCTATTATTATAATATCCACACTATTTAAAATCAAAAAAGTGAAATCGCAGTCAACCCCCCCTTTTAAACAAACCTTAATAAGTGGTCAGAATTATGTCTGACCCATTCCAAATGTTTTCCAATATTTGGTGACTCAAGTATTGATGGACCAAGGAGCGCGCATTTTGACATTTGCAGTAAAAACTTGAAATATAAATTCTCAGAAAATGCATTTAATACCAATATATTGAGATGTCTGTTTATACGGTTTATATTGGAAAAATAGAGTCCACATGCGTTTTATATTTAATATGAGGGAAATAGACATGCATGCCTGACAATTAAAAAAAAAAAACTTTAACTTTTAGGTAGGGCTATAGCAAAATATATATATTTTTTTTAGAAAATTCTACTAGACTTAGCTACTTACGTCACTCATAAATCATGAAATTTCACACATCCACCATCTCTTGAGTTTTATTTAAAAAAAAAAAAAAATACTTTTAGGTAGGCTATAGCAAAATATTGTTTAGTAATTACACTAAGGTAAGATTTCATTGAAGGTTAACTGGAGCGGACACACTGAACTGCGTAACTCCCACAGATGTGAAGTGAACGAGAGGCTGTCCGGTACCGGATAACTAGTAGTCTGAAATGGTTAACTCTGTGGCGATGCATGTGCAAAACAGTTTTAAGGAATCATAAAGTCAATCAGGATACATAACACTGCCTATAGGCCTACAAAGTAACACTAATCGTAGTGGCGTGTAGCCAAAGTAAGTCGACGCGAGCAATACAGAATCCGATGATGATGTCAAGGCTACACTGGATTGGAAACACTTTAATACATTGTTTCAGCAGTTGACGGATTGAAGTTTATAACAAATTGGTTATTCCAGTATAAATGGTTTTTGATGTAGCCTTTTGCTAAAAATTGCAAAAAGTGTTACAACTGTCCCTGGTCTTCCCTACACTGTAGACACAGTGTTAGTGATTAATTCGTAAAAGTATTTAGTAGGTCTATTGTGTGTGAAAAAAAAAAAAAAAAAAAAAAAAACATCTGTAAAATGAGGGAGGAGTTAAATCATGAACTGTAGTGGAGTTTCAGTAAACCGCTCCATATACAGACCGGCAGCTCTGTTAACTTCAGCTCATCCAACACGTTGAACACTCATCCAAAGAAAATATTTGACATGTTGATGATATTCTGTTTGTGCTCGTGGAGTCTGAGTGGTAAGTATTTTTATACCTTCGTTTGTGTTTATAATAGCTTGTCAAAACGGACCTGTTTCCAACACCCATTTTCATGTTTTATTAGACTAAACTCAAATATCTCTTTTCAGTATTATCAGTTTCTTAGTTTTTTATAAGTAATCTGTAGTTTTTATTACATGCAATGCAGTTTTTTTTTTTTTTTTTTTTTGGACACGAAATAAACTGCAAAATTGCAGTATACCTGGAGTACAATTGCAGGTTTACTGCAATACAACTGAAGTAGTACTACAACAATACTGCAATAACTGCAATATTTCTGAAATATAGGCCTGGTACTGCAATACAGCTTAAGTACGTACAAGACTATCCGAATGCAATCATAAAATGCTTTACAATACCATTAAAATACAACCAGAATATCCAGAATAAGTTTTGTTTTCATACATCTGCAATATAATGAATTAAGGTACAAAACAACAGTGAATGTCTCAAACTGCAATGCAACAAATAATGTGTTTTTACTTTTTTCAAATAACAAGCTGAGAGTTGGACAATGTAGCCTATTTAAAGTGTTTATTTACAAATCATGCATATATCTTCCCTCACATTATTCAAAGAAGATGCGTTTTTTGAAGAGCTGAGATGTGGAAACAATATTTTAGATGTAGTCTCGAAAAACAAACAAAATGAATCAAAAACACTCTTTTCAGTTACACTCTTGACTTCACCACAGGCATTATGCTTAAAATTAATCTGTAAGTTAATCTCTTAAAGGAACACGCCTTTTTTTAAAAAAATAAATAGGGGTTATTCTATGGAATTAATATTGTGCCATAAATAAACAAACTCGATCTGCTTCGCAAAGGAAACCTCGACTTGCAAACAAACAGAAAGCAATGTGCAAAGGTCAATTTTAATGGAAATGCAGTGTTTTACAAATACAAATAAATGAGCCTAGATAATATTTCACAAATAAATACAAACCATCATACAAATTGCATGTAACCTTTGAACGAATACCAAATAGTGCATACAAATGAATATCTGTCAGTTATTATTGTGTGAGACAATTGGCTTTTTATGAGATCTCTCGGCACGATTTTCTCACAAATGCAGTTGAGCGACTTCCTCTTGTAAACAGCAGATGGCGCTAAACCAGGGGGTTAATTTAGCCTAGTCTCCTCAGAGAACCACTGATTTGAAACGTGTGCTTGTCTTTGCATACAGCTGTGGAAAATGACCAATGAACAGATGTGTTTCTGTCTCACTTTATCTATAATTAATAATTTTGAGGTTTTATTTTGCAAAATGTTATTACATATCTAGACAGAAATCCACATTTAGCACTTAGTAGTACTTCACTCTCCGGATAGGGGAATCTATAAGCTGAAAGCTCTGCCATCATTTTGTTTTTTTTACATTTTTGTAAAAAAAACTTACATTTACTGAAAGAGTCCGTTTATTTTGTTCTTCACAAATTAATTATAACATTTAAATTAATTGAAAGGAGGGTTTCATTGGTCCAAAATAATAATTTGGGCCATGTGTCACAGGCAGATTAGGATTAGGATAAACAATTGGATATTGTTTGTTTTGTTCATTCATTTTTTTACATAAACAGTTAAGTTGACTGAATTCCAACTAAATACATTAGTGGGACCCTCCTTTCAGTTAAATGAAATGTTCTCATTAATTTATGGTGAACGAAAGAAATAGATTGTTCAGTAAATGTAGCCTATAACGTTTTTACAAAAATGTAAAAAAACAAAAAAACATATGTGTTACGCAGTAGCAGGAAAGGAGGAAGCAGGATCCAAAAGCAAGTACAATTTAATTTAACAAAACAGGTAATCCAAAACAAACAGGTTCTCAGGGACACAGGACAGGGACAAGGCTACAAGCAACATAACCTGTACAACAACTCACAAAGACTGGACTGAAACACAGGGCTTAAAGGACAACTCTGGCGCAAAATGAACATTTGGTCTAATTACACATTGCTACCTAGTCAATCGTTATCTGAGATTTGTTTTCATGATTGCCGAATGTAAATAGTTTTATCTCTAAAAACAGTTTAGCCTATAACGCTAGTATAACGCTAGTATATAGGGCATAGAGTAGTGACAAATAAAAATCGCTTGTTATTACCTCTAAAAAGGCTCAAAATAGCCCCACACTAACACGGCAGCATAATAAGGGTCCCTACATTCAAACCGAAGCATTGAGAACTTTGTCAGTGTCCATACAGTTTAATAAGAAGATATTTTATAGACACAGTCAACTTCGCGAATACAGGAAGAAGCCATCTTGGAAAAATAGTCCCTATCAGTCGATCTACGAGCGCCGATCCAAGTGCGCTGAACTGAGCAGAATCTCATATGGTCCGTTATTTCCAGAAGAAACACAAACACAAACCGTTTTCTTCTCTTCAATATGTACACGTAGCCTACTGTTCGCGCTCACTTTATCACCTTATTCACATCTCACCAGCGCACTTGGATCGGCGTTCGTAGATCGACTGGTAGAGACTATTTTTCCAAGATGGCTTCTTCCTGTATTCGCGAAGTTGACTGTGTGTATAAAATATCTTCTTATTAAACTGTATGGACACTGACAAAGTTCTCAATGCTTCGGTTTGAATGTAGAGACCCTTATTATGCTGTCGTGTTACTGTGGGGCTATTTTGAGCCTTGTTCGTGGTAATAACAAGCGATTTTTATTTGTCATTACTCTATGCCCTATATACTAGCATTATACTAGCACTATAGGCTAAACTGTTTTTAGAGATAAAACTATTTACATTCAGTAATCATGAAAACAAATCTCAGATAACGGTTGACTAGGTAACAATGTGTAATTAGACTTAAGGTTCATTTAGCGCCGGAGTTGTCCTTTAAATACAAGGACTAACGATCTAGATGGGATAATAAGGGGGCGTGGTTAATGGGAACACCTGTGAAGACTAATAGACAGACAGGGAACCACTAAACATGACAAGACAAACCCACACCGTGACAATATGATGGCAGAGCTTTCAGTTTATAGATTCCCCCTATGGGGGAAACAGTGCATATATTTATTTTTAACTGATACACAGCCTTTGTTATTTCATGATAGCGCTGTCCTATATAATGACTGCAAATGGTTTTAATAGATCGAGTAGAAAACGGTGTAATAATGCAGTTCATGGATTCTTGTCTGTGGAATGCACCACATCCAGTATTTTGCCGCCGGTTACTCGACAGGGGTTAATTTCAATCGAGGAATTTTTAAAATCAGTACTCGACTTTAATGTGAATGACCACGGATTGCAATGCTGACTGTCTTTGTGATTTAGTTGTAATAGTTCATAAATACACTCAAAAAATAATCTGTTGAACGAACTTAATTAAATTAAGGAAAGGTTTTCCACGAAATTGAATTACATTTTTCCAACAAATTCAAATTAGTTTGTTGTAATCTTGTTGTATGAATTTAAATTAATTTAGTCATTCCTACTAGATAAAGTTTTGTCAGGTTAACTACATTTAGTTTTTGTCCTGCCTTAATTCACCAACATTATAATTTTAGTTATTTTGACTCTATGGACACTTCTAATGATAGACACTTCTAGTGTTTAATTGACATTACACCATTTTTTACATATAGCAATATAAAATTACTTGTGCAGGACTGCGAGTGAGGTTTACATATAGTGTATAATGAGTGCCCATGAACAGGAGATTTAAAGCACATATAGTATAATACTGAATCTGAACAGAATACTGACCTAAACACAGTCACCACTCTTCTGCATAATGGTAACCACAAAATTCAAAAACATTACAGAAAGTACTCTAAGTTTCTAACAAAACTGAACTTTAAACACGTTTAAACTGAACTTTAAACACTAACATTAACTAACAACATCTTTCCATTTACTGAAAAACACGTAAAATAACACCTTTTCCATAAATTGACCCTCTTAATGCAGTCCCTTGCAAAGCATGCTGGGAACTACAGATACACTGCCCAGTTAGACGTCAACAACAATGATTCATGTAGATTTCACACAAATGAATTAGGTTGATTGAACACAATTAAATTAAGTTGTGACAATATCAAACAATCATGTTACTTTTGCTTATTTTAATTAATTATTTTAACAAGAGGCCAAAATTCATTTTTTGAGTGTATGAACGTATACGAACAATATTGTCAGTGAAGAAATCAACCAAATCGTATTTTATGGAGGCGCGTTCATGCAAAGTAAGTTCATCTGCGGGCTATACGCGGGTGACAAAGTTAGTGTTTCACAATACAGCATAACTGCAGTACAGTGGTAGTGCAGTATAGTATTAATGGTAGGCTGTGTGGAATTAGCCTTATTGTGTATGGGCTGTGATTGGACCCGACGGAAGTAGGTGGGGCTTGTGTAGAGAGAAAAAACAGTGCACAAAGTGTGATTGCAGATTTGAGGCGGTCCGCTTAATTAAGACATAGTTGTTTAATAAAGCTGTGTACTTGCTCTCTCATGACATTGGCAAAGACTTCAGATGCAAAGACAAAAAAGTTTTATATGACGTTTTTATAAAGCTCTATAAAAGAAAAGAACCTTAAAAAAAAGAATGGACTCATATGGACTTTAAGGTTTTTGCATTTAAAGTCTTCTCGTGCATTTCAGTGTATCACTGAACTGCAGTTATTATAGGCTACTTCATTGTACTGCAAATCCACAGTGATACTGCAGTTTTACTTCACTACTCTGAAGATGTTCTTTTTGTACAGCAGTTGTACTTCATTGTAATGCACTTTGAATTTTTTTTTTATTGAATTATACACTAAAATTAGTGAAGTGATATTTTGCAATGGCACACTTGTTGAAAACGCAAAATCTGTCAAACCTCCAAATTGTGAGTGAATATTTCTGTGTGTTGTTCAGGAGTGTTTGGTGTTGATGCCGTGAAGTCAGTGTCAGTGACTGAGGGAGAATCTGTCACTCTAAACCCTGATACTGAAATACAGACAGGTGAACTGATAATGTGGAGAACTGTACACAACGACAGTCTCATAGCTAAAATCAATGAAAAGGACAAGAAGACAGAATTTCTTGAGAGATTCAGAGACAGACTGACACTGGATGAGAAGACTGGATCTCTGACCATCACAAACACCAGAACCACAGACTCTGGACTTTATAAAGTCATCAATACCAGATCAGACACGCCGTTCAACACATTCAATCTTACTGTCTATGGTGAGTAGAGAACGTACTCGGTTACCTAAAGTAACCTTGGTTCTCTCTAGATGAGGGAACGAGGATTGCGTACGTCTAGCTTACGCTACGGTAAAGATTCATCTTCTTAAGATATTGAAGCCAAAAAATTATCCTTGTGTATTCATTGTCAACGCAGTGCAGCATCTAGCAGACCTAGAGCTGGCATCCTAGCGAGCTCATTGGCTGCTCTGCGAGCCCGATGTGACGTCACGCAAGCGCCCTCAACGTGTCCAAGCCTGCCAGAATGGGCGTGGCTTAGAATATATAAGCAGGGCTCGGAGGCTGTTTCTCTGGTTTTCATCAACAGAAGCAAAATAACGCTGTTGCGCGAGCATGGCAGGTTCCTCAATACTCAATCCCTCATCTAGAGTGAACCGAGGTTACGTTAGGTAACTGAGTACTTTCTCTCACGAGAGGTTCTCTCTTATTGTGTAAGTTTAGCTTATGCTACGGGAACCCCTTGTCAACCCCATGAGTCCCGAAACGTTTCAGGGAACCCAGATAAGTGGGAAAAAGCGCATGTACATGAGCGCGAAAGATAAGCGTGTGTCACAAGCGCATACATATAAGCACTCACTGGCAATACAGAGCGGTGCAGCCGGTCAATGTATAAGCAGCATACAGCACACAACCTCATATAGTGCAGCTCAACCAGAAGAGCTTAAATTATATGAGGGTAGTCTGTGCATAATAAAATCTGGACAGAACTGACTTGAAGCGGACTAGAACATGGTGGCATCGAAAGAACAGGAAGAAGCGTTTCAGCGCATTCTTGACCGCTTTCATTTCCAGACAGTTTATACGAAGGAGTTTTTCCCGGTTTGACCATAGGCCAAAAACTGGTCTGCCTTCGAGGGAAGCGCCCCAACCCGAGTTGGACACATCCGTCGAGATGACCTTCCGGAATGCGACAGCCCCCATAATCACTCCGCACTGGTACCCGTCGGTCGCTAACCAGGGCTGCAGAGCTGTCACACACTCTGATTCGCACATGACCCAACTTCCAAGCTTGGCGTGACACACACACTGCCAGCCAGCATTGCAGCAAGCGCATGCGCAGTAAACCCAGCTGAAGCCATGTAGCCCAACATCCTCTGGAATTTCTTCAGAGGGAAAATGCTGCCCTTCTTGAATGATATGGCCAGTTGCTGATAAGTGAGCTGTCATGGCCATGGAGTCCAGTTATATTCATAAAAAGGAAAATGACTGGCTGGGCAGTAATGAGCTCTTCGTAAAGTTGACCCTGAGACCTAGGCTTTTCAGATGACTGAGGAGTGCAGCTCTATGAGACAATTGTTCCATCTGTGACTATGCTAGAATCTGCCAATCGTCCGGATAGTTCAGAATCTGCACACCCTGGTTTCTCAAGGGTATGAGAGCCATGTCCATGCACTTTGTGAATGTACAGGGTGCTAAAGACAGGCCGAACAGTAGGACGGTGTATTGATAAACCCAATCGTTGAAGGCGAATCTCAAGAAAGGCCTGTGACGGGGTATTATCTGGATCTGGAAATAGGCATCTTTCAGATCGAGAGATATAAACCAATCCCTCGGGCGAATGTGCGCGAGGAGTTGTCTGGTTGTAAGCATTTTGAACGGTCTTTTCATAAGAGCCTTGTTCAGATGCCTCAGATCCAGTATAGGTCTGAGACCCCCGTCCTTTTTGGGTACGAGAAAATAACGGCTGTAGAATCCTGACTCGCTCAGAGAAGGCGGTATCACTTCTTTGGCCCCTTTGAACAGCAGCTTTGCTATTTCTGATCGAAGTAGGTGCGCTACTTCTGCATTCACTATCGTCGCGGTCCATGCTCGGAAGGAAGGGGGACGGCGAGCGAACTCTAGTGCATAACCCTGCTTTATAGTGGCATGCCCACTAGCATGCCCACTCTAGGTCTGCTAGCTGAAAAAGCGATTATGCGTGTTGATAGCACGCCAAAAATGGAAATACGAATTGGCGTGTCATACATACGCCATTTCATGAGATCAGTCTGGCCTTCAATATCTCGAGAAGATGAATCTTTCCCGTAGCGTAAGCTAAACTTACACAATACGAGAGAACCTTTCGTAAAAGAGAACTATAGATTTTAAGAAAATAAGCATCTTAATAATTTTTAAACCTAGAATATCATATCAAACTCCTTGTTTTGCTAAGGTTAATTAGCTAGTACTTGTGCATCCTAGACACAAAAACAGCTGAAAACCATCTCTTAATTAACAATTAATAATTTAACAATTACACATTGATTGGAAATCAAGCATAATCAAAATAGTCTGTGATACTTCCATGATTTACATTATGTCTCATGTACCTTAGTTAAATATCTACTTGTATATCATTCATCCTCATTTATCTACATTCTCTCCTATTTTCCAGCTCGTCTGCCAGTTCCTGTCATCAGCAGAAACTGTTCCGTTCTCAGACTGTCCCCAAGTTGTTCATTGTTGTGTTCAGTGTTGAATGTTAGTGATGTGACTCTGTCCTGGTACGCAGGAATCAGGTTATTGTCCAGCATCAGTGCGTCTGATCTCAGCAGAAACATCTCTTTACATTTGGAGGTGGAATATCAGGATAACAACAATTACAGCTGTGTGATCAACAATCCTGTCAGCAACCAGACCACACATCTGGACATCACTCAACTCTGTCAGCCATGTGGAGGTCTGTCTCTCTCTCTCTCTCTCTCTCTCTCTCTATATATATATATATATATATATATATATATACAGTATATATATATATTTACTGAACTGATTTCTCAAGTCATGTAGTGCTGATATTTCATGTAGTGTTTTTTGTAGCATATTGACAGGTTAATTCATATTAATGCTTCATTTTGTTTATTTCAGATCAGATATCAACCTTATATATAGTGCTGATCTCTGCTGCTGCATTTCTGTTGATTGTAGTTGCTGTCGGAATCTTCTGGATTTGCAGGAAAACAGAACAAGAGGGCAAGTAAAATTATTCTCTGCTGAAACATCAGAAAAAGGTTAGTTCACCCAAAAATGAAAATTAAGTCATTAACTTCTCACCCCCATGCTGTTCCAACCCCATAAGACCTTCGTTCATCTTCGGAACACAAATGAAGATAAGTTTGATTAAATTTGAGAGCTGTATCACTACCACATAGGCATGCACCCTAAGGGATTGAAACTTTTCGGCCCAGAAAGTCAATGAAGAAAATGTTTAAATATTCCATGTGACTACCGTGACTCAACTATAAGTTTAAGTGACAAGACTACTTATTGTGTGAAAAAAAAAAAAAATAACGACTTTATTCGACTATTCCTTTTCTTCCTTCTGGGCCTGAGACGAGAGTTCAAGAGATTTCCACGACTCATGCGCGACAACTACGTTATTTTTCTACTACTTCTTGTTCAGTGAACTGAACAAGAAGAAGTAGAAAAGTACCTTCATTTGTGTTCTGAAGATTAACGAAGGTCTTACGGGGTTGGTACAGCATGGGGGTGAGTAATTAATGACTTAATTTTCATTTTTGGGTGAACTATCACTTTAAGAAAGGAATTATTGACACTGAATGAGTAGAACATTGTATTGTGATGTAAATGAGTAGAATCTTGCTTTTAATTGTATGAGCAAGGCAAGGAAAGTTTATTTATATAACACATTTCATACACTATGGTAATTCAAAGTGCTTTATGCAGAAAGGAATTAAAATAATAATCACAAAATAAAAAGCAAGAAAAATTAAAACAATTATAAAATGAATTAAAAGGGTAAAAAGATGATACATAGATAAACTTCTCATCTGGCAAAACACCGGTGTATCATATTTTTTGCAGATGCTTGTAATACTGTCTGTGGTGTTCTTTCGGTACGCCTAAGTAGAAAAAAATGCAGTAAGAAAAATGCAGTAGGAAAAAATGTCCATAAAACTCCTGCTTATGCATCCATTGGTAATTCCAAAACATAATTTTTACAGAGTCATTACGTTTAGAAGCACCCGCTCAAAACCAAAATATTAGGCAAGGCAAGTTTATTTGTATAGCACATTTCATACACAATGGTAATTCAAAGTGCTTTACATAGCTGGAATTAGAATAATCAAAATAAATAAGAATAATTAAAACAGTTTAGAATAAAAATAAAGTAATACCCTGATCTGAGATGGAAGAGATTGAGCTGGTTTACGGTGCCACTGGACCTCTAGACCAGGGATGTACTCTGCTTATGGCAAGCCGTTTTAACATTTAATCATTTTAACCTACTAGTCTCTATTTTCATGCTACTAGTATTTATTTTTTAGATACTAGTATCTAATCCATTAAGTACTAGTACTTATTCATTAGCTACTAGTGCTTATTCATTAGATACTAGTCTTTATTTTTTAGATACCAGTGCTTACTTATTAGTTACTAGTACTTATTCATTAGATACTAGTACCTATTAAATAGATACTAGTACTTATTTCAATAGTTTTTTTACCATTGACTTCTATGGTGATCTGTCATTCAGATATCAACTATTCAGTTCTGACTAGTA